TAGGTAGGTGGGGTAACTGTGCGCCCTACCGGAAGCGAAAAGCTCGTAAAAGAAGCGTGTGAACCGAACTGCAGTACGGAACTTCCTCCGAGTGACGTTGATGACTTACCCTCCCGCGGTCAGCTCGTTAATCAAGCAGCTGAGCACGAGTTCGGGGGTGAAAGGGCGAACGAGAGAGAGAGAAAAGAGACACATACAGAGAAAGACATTACGCACAAGTTTTACGATAGGCTTATCAATATGTAAGCGCTAATTTTATAAAACGTTTGACCGGCATTCAGTCGGTCGTTTGATTTCTTCAGCGTTGGGTACAATTTCTTCTTTTTGTTTTTTTTTTTTTTTTTTTTTTTTTAAATCATTATAATTAGAACAAGACGTCATATATATTGTTAATTTTTCCTGCCTTATGAATTTTGCAAAAATAACAACGATCCAATACCCAACACTGATAGTAATCTACATAAAAAAAAAAGAAATTTATTATCGCTCTAACGAAACGCATTATTGTTTTTAATTGCAAACAGCCTAAGCGCAACGAAAAGTCCTTTAATGTTTTTTTTTTCGCCAGGACATTTTCAATTCGAATCTTTGAATATTTTATCCTAATCTACGCAAAGTTACTGGTATACATACATACATAGATACATACACATACATTTATACACGCATACATTTAATTCTACGATGATACTAATATTTTATAAAATATATATATATTGTCGAAGTACATGTGAGATAATTGTCAAATAGTACTGGTAAGTACTTATGTATGTATATTGTGTATATAAATATGTATGAACCAATGAGTAAAGTCAAAAGTTAAAGAGAGAAAAAGTCGTATATAAAGTAGAATAGAAGAAATGAAAATCTAGAGTTTTTATAATCCACGTAAATGAAGAAACCTACCTTAAACTTGGCATGCTTTTTCCTTTAACTAAATTAGTCGGATGTTTCATACGATCTACGTCCTTAGCTTCAAAGATTTTTGAGCTAGTTGATGTTGGTCTGGTCAATTGATCATCACCTGTATCGAGACTCCTATGACTGTCCTAATAATACAAACAAATTATATTCGATATTCCTAATATCTTTTTATTAAAATATGATTTAGGATTACTTGTTCGAATAGCATCTTAGTGTCTTCCTGACCAATCTTTTCAAGAGCTTTCTCCGATTTGGATAAAATCTTAGTCTCGACAAAAGCTTTTAGGTCAGCCATCTTCATACGTTTTTTCGTCTTTTCGCTAGCACGTCTGGTATGACTTGACTCTCCCTCGTGACCTTCGCAGGTCAGACATGGTAATTCTAAAAATGTGCCGAACTCTGTACTGGGAAAAGATAATTTGTTGGAGGAACACTACTACCATCTGTATTTAAGCTTTTTTCATATACCCGCCAGCAAAGAGACATCTCGTACTTCTGGTATCTCAATGAAATCTTTCGAAACATCTTTTTTCTTACTCTCAGGACTCTGATAAATCGAGACCTCGATTTTGGGTATCGGTAAGGAATTGCTACGACGACGGGGCATCTGTTGCACCGAACTTTCTTCGTTTATTCTGCGTAATCTAAAATCCAATTTGCAACAACAAATTCATTACAAATATTTTTATACAAGTTTTCATTTAAAACAATAACAAGTAACTAACCGATGATATAAAAATTGTAAGGCCCAAAATACTCCTTCCTCTTGCCACTGAGAAACAAAGAGACATCTGAGAACGGCCACGTCGAGAAACGTTGCTGCCCGAATATCAACTTCGAGAATTTGTTCAGCAGTTTGTCCCGAAGTATCGGTTGGCGAACTTTGTTGTTGAGTTGAAGATTTTGAATTATTTTTCTCCTTTTCCTTTTCCACCTCTTTATCCGTCTTAGTTGGCTTTTCCTCTTTCTCTTTCTCTTTCTCTTTTTCTTTTTCTTTCTCTTTCTCTTTCTCTTTCTCTTTCTCTTTCTCTTTCTCTTTCTCTTTCTCTTTCTCTTTCTCTTTTTCTTTNTCTTTCTCTTTCTCTTTCTCTTTCTCTTTCTCTTTCTCTTTCTCTTTCTCTTTCTCTTTTTCTTTCTCTTTCTCTTTCTCTTTCTCTTTTTCTTTTTCTTTTTCTTTTTCTTTTTCTTTTTCTTTTTCACCACTGCAAATTATTTAATTGAAAATTATATTCTTATAATTAAGATGTGATATTATCGTTAAGTATGAACCTTGCTCTTTGAGAAGGCTTCCTGAAATATTGTTTACAACTGTCCAATCCGGAAATTGCTGTTACTTTTTCTATTGTAAGCGTTGGCTTAGAGGAACCGGTACTTCTACCCATGGCAACGTGAAATATGCTGGTTTCATCCTGCAGCAGTAACAGACAATGCATTGCTCTACATTTGATCTGGCAAATTTTCATTGTAAATTCATTAACTCACTGCGAATATGGTTGACACTTCTTTTACTCCGTCGATACCTCTATCGGATTCACCTAGTGATGATAATCTAAATATAACCTACATATGTATAAAAAAATATAATTGAATAAAATGAAATATTTGAATTACCTCTAGAAGCTTAACGAAAATATTACAAATTTTTGTTTAACAGAATTATAGAAGCAAACGATTTGTTTACCACGTGTTCATCTTCGCCACCTGAACTTTCTTCGGGTATCGTTTCTGGAAACGCAGTATCTTTTGGCGATGATACCCAAGTACTCTATTAAAAAGCAATTTATTTTTTTTAAATAAATTCTTTGAAATATTTTATCAAACATCCAATTTATTGGCTATAACTTACTTCCTCGTCTTGTTTCGTTACAGTCTGTGAAACATTCGGAGGAATATTTTGATCGGTCATCGTAGGACCCACTGATTGACTAGATGGACTTTCGTTGTCTGTAATTAGAACATTATTGTTTAAGTAAAAAAAAATAAACAAAATGAAAATCATAAAAACTCACTTCCACCGACAAAAACTTCGTCTGGCAATTGATGATGTTGCACGAACTTGAAAGATCGACTCCACAATACACGAGGTTTTACACGACAATGAGTGGTGAAGCAAGCTGTATTAGGGTGCCGACATTCGTACAAGGCAGTCCATATCTTCGATCCATTTTCCAATCTCAGATTTGTCTTGAAATCAATGTCTTTTAAATAATTACAAAGTGGAGCAAAAAGATATACGAATAGCTGGAAAAAAAATCAAAAATCAAAATTGTCAAACATAATTTAACACCATGATCTTCTTTTCAAAATCATCGTATTGACGATTTTGAGTTAGTAACCAATTGTTTAAGCTCACCGTCATAGTTGGTATCGAAAATAAATATTGAAAAGGATTTCCAGAATCTGATTCAGCTTCGATACACTCCTCAGCCGAATCAAGAAGAATCCAATGAAGAATATAAAGAAGAGTTGTTTCCATTGCACCAAGACTTTGAAGATCCTTCCTTAAAGAGCAATGATAAGAGCCTTTGTTGTGTGAAAAGCGAATGTGCTAGATTGGAGGCGAATGCATAAAAGAGAGAAAAAAGGAAAATATATGAAGATAAAAGGGCTCACCTATTGTGCAAAAGGTTGGCTGTCGCGTGAAGAACGTAAGGTAAAGCGGCTTGAATCAAACGCCAACGTGGCACCGCGCCCAATATCGTGCTCAACGATGGCGGCAGATCATTGTGAAGATTTTGGACCAACACTTTCTCTAAAGACTACATCAATATAAAAAAAAAAAAATCCCGATCAAAATAAGCTTTTTTCTATTCATTGAAATTAGGGATATTTGTTTTTTTTTTATGCTTGAAATATACTAACCGTGCATGCTTCTTTCATCTCCTGATTATTCATTAAAAGACAACAAATGAGAATTAATATTGAAAATATTCATTATTTCGTTTGAGTGGGTTAACTCAACTTACGTGATGACCTGGCACGTGTTGGCAATGCTGCAGGTGGTAGGTCGACGGGAAAAAATCAGATTTTCAAATATCATGATGAAACAATTATTATTGGCTACTTGATTTTGATTCTACCAAATGAATTCTACAAAATTCTAATTCGTGAAATCTTAAAATCCAAAATATTACCGTGCAAGATGCTTCATGTACTTTCCCAAGTTTCATTCGTATGAAAGGCCTGTAATGATGCATGCATTGAAGCAATTACTTCGGAACGATCCATTATTTTCTTGTTTGCATCTAGAGATGCAAAAAAAGAAAACATTTTTGTACCTCAATTGTCGCCAGAGGAAAATCTGAACGGGAATGGGTAATGTGTGTTCGTTGAGTATGCCATTGACGGATCGGCGTCTTTCCATATTTTTATTATAATGTAAACCTGTAAAACGTTTAGGGTTTGCATATCAGAACGTTACGCGGGCTGAGTTGTGCTAATAGAAAATCGATCATCTTCGTTAGCATGATTGCCACACCATTGTCACGTGTTTTACCTTTAGTTGTTTCTTTTCAATTCAAAATTCATTTAACATAAATTTAATTCGATTAACATATAATTTATCATTTAAAGATCTACGTTAATTCTATAGGAATTAAATTTATAATAAAAGAAAAAAACGGCGCGCATAGGAAGATGTAGATTTACATACCTAAAATTAATACGAAAAATAGAAGATGAACATGTTGTAGATTAACCAATCATAAATAATCTTCTCGCGTGAAAATTTGTGCTAGTTAGCTCGCGAAATGTGTTTACGCTAAAACTAATTAAAAAGGATTCGCGGGAATAACGAAGAAAAATGATAAACTAGGGAAAACATTAATGTCTTATGATAGGACAGGACGATAGGTACACCGGATGAACCTGGCGCACAAAGTATAAAGATCACGTGTCAGTTTCTCTCGGCCTAGTGACACACTTGCATGATTTTCGTCGACAGGTAGTACCCAGACCGAAGGGTGAATCACACCACGATGCAAGGATCGTGACTAACCGAGTATCGTGGAAGGGACGTTAGCTACGCCGTGGAAACGATGGGAATGTGCGCGCGCGACTCTCGGAAAATCCAATGCGCCGGTCGTTTCATCGATCAGCCCAGGAATCTGCTTGCTGGACCACCCCTACTTTCCTAAGAGGATGGGTTGTTCGACCCACCCTTTCCTACGCTGCATGCTTGTCTCCGTTACCAACTTCATACCAACCCATTTACCCACCTAGCAAGCTTTAATTTTCCACATATAATTTATATTCGTTCTTTAATATTTTATTCATATGAAAGCAAACCTTTTGTTTAACAACATTTTATATTTTTCATTTTAATGCAACCACCTCATTAAATAGAAATTAATCGATCACATTATTCAGTATCTCAATATGATAGGTATTAGGTAATCATGATAGATGCGTATTTCATTTCTTTACTTTCTCATCTCAAATCATACGTGTAGTTACATGAAGTTATTAGGAATAAACGATTGTACATATTTATCAATTTCTATCAACAGCTGATTAACATACACGATGCTCAATTATTAATTATTCCGAACTCGTTGCTTATAATACTTGAACATAGCTGATTTAGATGAAATATACAAGACGACGATCATCAATGGACGTCTCACGGTCTGTCAAACGCATAAATTCGATAATAATTTTCCGATCGAGCTAGAATGGCTCAAAACATGGTGGAGACGTTCGCACGAGGATTAATAGACCAGATTGTATTGGAAGCTTTCGATCAAATTAAAGTTCAATCCAAGAAAGGTACTAGAAAATTGGTGATATCTTGCATATTTATATATGATTGGTAATAAAAAAGAAACAATCTTATTCGCATTAATTTATTTTCCTTAGAAGTGTCATACACTCATATGCAACACAGTGACACATATATAGATTACAAAGGAAGGGAAGACAAAGAATTGATAGAAAATATAATTCATGATCTACGAGGTGTTCAAATTGGTGACACATCTTATTTGTTATCATCATCTATGTCAGTTTTAGAACAACGTCAGGTAATAATTATAAATATAATATTAATAAATTGCATTGATTTTGATTGCATTTATTATCGATACAGTCGAGACGTGCTGCGTGTTTCATCGATAACGCGTCCATCGAAAACGCATCGATCAGCGTCGTTGAGATGTCTGACATTCAAGGTCAAGGTGACGTCGAACCAATAACAATTGATTCCGAATCATCGAAAAAGAAACGAGCTAAATCAACGACCTGTGTTAAAGAAACAGATCAACTTGGTGTTAACGATGCCACAAAAGTATCCACCAATCTATTGCATCGAATGATCGATGAATTAGAGACCGTAACCGAGGAAACTATAACAAATCCTAACGACCCTGACATATACGACGAAAAATCCAAAGAAGACATTGCTCTTTGGGAAGAAAAAGAAGAAAAATTGATTCGAATAATTGAAGATACCGTAGGATCGCACGATAGTATTACCGAGGAATCTCGATCGATTAGACAATTCAACGTGGACGATGATAGGGAAGAATTAAAATCGTCTATGATGATGTCGGGTGCTTCTTCCTCGAGGAATCTTTCATTCGACGAAGTTTATATAGAAGAAAATACGTCAGATTATCAACAAACTCAGCAACGTGTTTCAATCGACGATGAAATTGAAGAAACTCGTGATTTTTTCGTTGAAACTAAAGATACTGACGAGAAAACTAATTCGAAAAAAAAGAAAAAGAAGAAGAATAAGGAAAGTTTAGGTCAAAGACTGAAAAGATTTTTCCTCAAGAGATTCAAACGTGGAAAGAATTGATGAAATTACTTTCCTTATTTTTTTGGGGGGGAACAAAAATGCAACACTTTCGGTTGCATTCCTTTATTATTTTTTTTTTACGTACACATAAACACACACACACACAGAGGCATATATACATTTATCTATGCTGATAGTATTATTTTGTAATGAAGCGACGCTCAGTACGTTCCAACACAGTGTCGATCGGTTGTGTCGAGCAAGTAAAAATAACCGAGCAGTTTGATCATTGCATAGTCCTGCGACAGAATTACTTTTCGAGGGAGGAGATGACAAGGCGTCGCGTTAAAAAAGAAACTCCCCCACCTCTTAAAAATATAGAAATTCAAAAGTATCCAAACGATTTCTAGAGATTCTTTATTATTCTTATTATATATATACATATTTTTTTTTAAATACCTACAACAATCTCACTTGTCTTTTTTTTTTGTACGAACATTGTATCGTCATTTTCTATGATCGTTTTTCTAATACACCCACGCACCCACACACACACACAAATCTTTCCCATGAGCATGTAAATAAAATAAATTTGTACAACAATCATAGAACGCCTGATGTTCTTCTAATGGTAAAATAATAAAAGCTCCGTCTAAAAGTTTAAAATAAAATTTCCGTTAATATCGTAGCTTCCTGTGCATCGAAGGTCATGTTGGAATTGGTATAGGTGTATTTTCATTTTGCTGTATTGTTAACATCTTAACAGGCTACAGATCTGGCAACCCTGACAGAACGTCGAGAATACCGCTGTTGAAAACCATTTATCGTAGTAGGAAGAACATTCGTGGCACAGGGTTCCTCCTCGAACTGTTTTTGGACCGCAACGTTGCCGATGACTCTCTTCTTCGTCAAGATGACTTAGTTTCAGCATGATCTTTCTCGTGTATCCCGATCGTAGCGACATCTGCAGAAATAAAATGAATAAATTTGGTAACACCCGGTACCACTTCTGTTTCTACCTTCGTCTGATCAGCATCATCCCATAGAAGCACCAGACCAATCTACAATGGTGAGCTCGTATTATCTCCCCAATCCGTCGATCATTTTCAATTTTATTTTTTAACGATTGATTGATTAATTATTTTTTACATTTTCTTTTTCCCATAATTCAAATCGTTCTCTCACGATTTTTTGATAATTACAAAATTCCACCATGTCCTGAAATTTATACTTTAATTCATTAACAACACATTTGTGTTTTATTTTACAGGCAGACTTAAGCTCCAAAGACGTCGAGAGTGAGTAATTAAAAACCTGGATTTTAAAATATAATTAATCTGTTGAAACAAAAAAAAAACATTTAACTAAACAGAATTAATTATTGCGATGAATAGTAATTTTTGTAATATAACTAAATTAATCGACTGTCGTCTTGTAACTTTTGAAAATTCTCTTCAAAATGGAATCATTGAGTTTACAAAAGCATGGAATAAAAATTGTTGAACTATTTTTGCTAAAAAAAAAAAAAAGAAATTGAGATTATGCGTTCGAACATTAACGGAATCGGCGTTAATTTTAGGCTACTTGCAATGAACATTGAGCAATATCCGGATAGTTTTGGTAAAAAGAAAATAAACTTCCGTAATATTGGGCAATATATGTCGGGCAAATATCATATCGTTACGCAATCAAGCGCGTGTCAGTAAAGAAGCAAAGCAAAACTCTTCGAATAGAGAATCAAGATGTCAAAAATAGTCGGCAGGGTGTTCTTATATGGTTCGGCGGGGGTAATTTGACCCACTAGTTTAACCAGAGAGTTCTTGAATCGGTTCCTAGGGTGGGGATATACGCTCGTACTTAAAATAGATTCAGACTTTTGAACCTGATACGCGCTTAGTATCTCTTACAGGATGATATTAACCCAAATTTCGCATTTCCCGTTTAATTTAAGAGAACGTTCGAACATTTATTTCTAAACTGGTGTTTGATACTTTCAAAAATAAGAAACTATAATTATTATTATTATGATTAGTACTTTACTAATTATCCTAAAAAAACATTGCTATACATTTAGCAAATAATTTGCTTAAATCGGTAATCACATTTATTTGTTTTCCTTATGACATTTCATTTGCTAATGAATTACACGATTAATCAATCATCTTTCGTCGTTACGATCGTTACGAAATAGGAGCAGAATTCGCGTTCTCCATCTACGATGCCGATGGTACCAACTCCATCGACGCAATCGATCTTGGAAATGTTTTATATGCCTTGAATCTAAACCCAACAAATGCGACGATTGAAAAACTTGGCGGTACCAAAAAAAGAGGCGAGAAGATAATGAAACTTGACGAGTTCTTGCCGATCTTCAGTCAGTGCAAAAAAGACAAGGAACAGGGTTGTTTCGAAGACTTTGTCGAGTGTCTCAAGCTTTACGACAAGCAAGAAGATGGAACCATGTTAGCCGCCGAATTGTCCCATACGCTGCTCACGCTCGGTACGATTCCACCAATTGGTGTTGTCCATTTAAAATAACCGTAATTATATACTTATAAATATTCCGATAGGTGAACGTCTTACTGATGCTGAAGTCGAGACGGTGTTAAAAGATTGCATGGATCCAGAAGATGACGATGGTTTCATCCCTTATACTCGTAAGTAAACACAAATCATTGGCGTATCAAATTTGAATGCACCTTCCCAATTAGAAAGAGAGAAACAAAATTAAAAAAAGTAAAATTAGAATACCTGCATCTAATTGTTAGTGAGTCACGTTAGTGTGAAAGTATTTAGGTTCAAAGCACGTATAAAGAAAATCCAATTAAATGATTGTCCAACCAATTGTTTTGTTACCCCACCCCCCAGTATATAACGTCCCCCAAATGAAATTTAGAATTGATCTATCAATAGGCAATTAACTTGCCACTCCACAAACGCCCCCACAAACGAATGACCCCATTTTCCTTAGCACGTAGAACACATAGCCGCACGATTCTATTTCTAATTACAAATATAGAAGGAAAAATCATTTGTAGCGGGAGCCAAAACGTTCGGACAACATGGAAGTATAACGTGATTTGTAAAAGAAAAAAAAAGCAAAGATAAAAAAAACAAAAGAAATCCTCCCCAGTTCGAGCTGGCTAGATTCTCCATATGTTGTCCGTCATTTGAATACGTCCATGTTTTATTTGTATTTCACAGCATTCTTGAAGAAGATGATGGTGCTTTTGTAAGCTGTCCGGATGCCATTGGTACAGTGAGGTCATCGATCGTAAGTGTCCTCGTCTAGTAGACGCGTCCTCGTTTTCTCGCTTCTTCTACTATCACTTCCTCTTCCTGTTCTTCTTCTTCTTCTTCTTCTACTTTTTCTTCCTCCTACGCTTCTTCGTTTCGTCTATTGTCTCTATTTGTCTATTTCTTCGTTTTTTACTGTCTCATGAGAAAAGTGTCATCGCTTTTATTTTCGCCTTGTCTCGTCACGTACATCAAACAGTTTATAGGACGCGTGTTTGCAGCGCCACAGGGATGCTGAAATCGATAACTCGTTTCTCGCACAAAAACACGTACGAGTACTTCAGGTTTGTAAGTAAGATCAGTGAATCGAGTGTAGTTAATGCTCTAACCCACCCCCATCCCCCATCCCTCTCATTCCCAACAATACCATCGTTTCTGGGCCAACAAATAAAATACTACCTCGATCGAAATTCATTCGAAATGAATTCACACATTATGTGTATGTATGTGTGTGTATATTTCAGGAAGGATTCCTTAAACATCGAGCATTTTCTCTAACACGATTCACGATTATTACGAAATAATTGAATACAAGCAAAACGCTTAATTAAATGCATTTCTATCTTTTAACTTAATCTATCCATGTCTTCTTATTCTTCTTCTTTCTTACATGTGCAATAATTCGTGTGGCTAAATTACGAATGTCATATCTCACACGAATTATTTGTCTATGTTTAATCTGTGCTTGTCCTAAAAAAAAAAAAAAAAACTAAAAAAAAACGATTTTTATTACTTAAAATTGTGCAACTTTTATATTTTCTTTTAATGCTTACAGTGACGTACATACACGAATAAGTGAAAATAATATTAATATGTGTAATCATCTTTGCCAATTGACACGACGGATTGATCAATGATTATAAATAATAACAAAACAAAATAAAATTTAATTAGGAGGGGTAAAGGAGAGGAATTTTTACATTAAATATTTGCAAATCCGTCTTCTCAATTATTTCATGTAAATTGAAATGAAGATCAAATAATCAAAGATTTGTTATAATATTAAATATGGTTCCTTTTTTCAGCGTTCCTTCGCAGATTGTGCGAAAGAGAAGAAGACTAGTGATAAATACCAACAATTTCTTTCTTCGATTCTTCGGCAATGATCATTCGAAGCCACGAATCAGCGAAGGACGACGCGTTTATCATAATTTCTCATCATGCTGTTCATCCCTTGTTAATTCATCACTCGGTCGACCCAATCGCACCTCTTCACATTTCCGTAATAAAAATTCATTTGAAAAACAAAACAAAAAACAAAAAAAACAGGAAAAATGACCAAAAAAAAGAAGATTTTCAAAAGAACAAATATATATATATATAAGAAAAAAAAAAGAAGTAACATCACATAAAAATCCTCAGGATGACCCGGAACATGAAGCGAAGATCAATCGATTATCGAGAAAATATTTAATATATATTTATATATATATATAAAGAATAAGGATGAAAAAAAAGACAATCACTGTTTAAATAATTTATACTATGACTTAAAAAGACGCATAAAAGCGATCTCGCGTCTTGGGGTCATGTTTTAACAGATTTGTACAAACTTTAAACGAAACGATCGGTTTTCAGTTACATACTTCGTATTGTTACTTTAATAAACTACATTCCTCGTGACTCGGGGACTGCAAAAAATAAAAGTTTAAATGTAATCCTTGTCACAATGATTATAATAATCTATTAGTTATAGTTTAGGCGACAAATGTATATTTACAGCTAATAGCAAATGCTGTTATGGAACAATCAAATCAGTAATGACCAGTACCCTTTTATCATTAGATTCAGAACATCATAAATCTATGACCAATGATACATATCATTTAAAAAATAAAAGAAAAATAGGTGGAGCTTAATTTAATTAAATGTATATAAACAAATTCATTACATACGAAGCTTATCTTCAATAGAAATTCTTTTCTGCACGCCATTACATTAAAAACATTTGAAGGTAACAGAAACTTCATTAGTTTTCCTCGTAATAGCAATCATTACATATATTTTAATTAGTATCTTTAAACTAGTTGACTTATAAGTTACAGATATACAGAATACCTATATAGGATACGATAACTTACAAGAGAAAGTTGAGAAAAAATAAGAAAACAAATAATTCTCTCTCTTCTTTCTCCCGCCAAAAGATCATTCGTGCTACATCGGCAAATCTCGTGTCGTAAATGTTAACTTCGTATAAGCGTTATATGAGTTCGGTTGACTTCGGACATTTCCGGGATGGAGTTATGGCTTTGCCCGGCAAGTAGGCGCTCAGGACAGTCAGTTCAAACGCGTCGCAAGTGTCGCGCGTTTCCTCCACCTATTCTAATCTCTGCTGATGATAGATCATTATTCTTCTTTCGTATTTTTGCCTTCACTTTAAATTCAATTTACAGTTATACAAAATTGTTGATCTAACAAGTGCGCTAATAACAAAATTGTAAACGTAAAGATAACAACACGAACAATTAGTGTGAACATCCAAACACTTTGATTAAACGATCGAACGAGAAGAACAAAATTAACAAAATTTAATCAAAAAAAAAAATATGACAGACGTCCAAACAAATCCAACGAAAGAGGAGGCAGTATCCAAGAGGCTGCAACAGGACGACTATTCAGCATCTCGAACAGGTTGGTCATTTCTTCCCTTTTCTTTTGTACAAGTTAACAAGAATAGAAATTCTTTTTTTATTCGTAAGTAGGACTTACATCAGAGCACCCTCTTTTTGACATTTTCCTCTCATTCATCGCGGCTTTTGTGTATACGTTAAGAGAATACTCGCTGATTGGTCGGATGCCGCGTCTCCGCCATCTTGCTGCTAAGCCAGATCGGTGATATCACAAAAAATATTGAAAAATAGATTTTTATAACATCTCCATCAACGATCACAACAAGTTCTTTGTCACTAGGGTTTAAGAAATCTGATAAATATAATGAGAATTTAAAAACAAGATTGAAATAGGCGAGAAAAGATTTGAAGGGTTGTTTACGTTCGTACAAATTTGATTCGTAGTTATGGCTACTACCTATGTACGTGCTCCATGTTGTTTTATTAATTTTGAACAAAAAGAATTTCTCTGGAAAATTGCATCCTTCTTATTTCGTTTATTTTCTATCTAAACGAATCGATCGATAGTCGCGATAAAGTTAACTCTAAATATAAACCTCTAATGATAAACACGTTCAACGTAAATATTGTAGTAAATACCACGAAATCGGCTTAGCTTTATCTTCTAGTATTAAATGCATTATGATATTACGGTTAAATAAGATTGAAAAACTTTTCTCTTTGATATATAGAAATCACGTATATAACTTGTATTTGTATGTAAACGCATATACACTATACACGTATAAAATCTTAAACACATTATACACGGTAGATAAAGATATTTTTAAAAGATATAGACGAGAGTGCACACACTCCAAGTTCAAATTAAAATCGTTCAAAATTCTACGATAAGATATTTTTCATGTAAATCCTCGGTACACATTTATTTTTTTTTTTTTTTTTATATATTTTTCCTTCGTAATTTAAAAATAAAATAAGTTTCATAGTCTGACAATGAGACTATTTTACATAACATTTGCTTGTGACGTATGAGAATAGAATAACACGAAAAATAAAAAGAAGTCAGTCTCACTGAACACCTTGACACCATAATTTATTACATACTTCATTCTTTAACTAAAATACGTTATATATATATTTTGTTTTGTTCTGTATAAACATTAATTTAAAACGAAATGTCATATTTGAATTATGACAAACAATTACATCGAAAATTGTTACGTTTTCGATTACGTTTCGTGAATAATGTTAAAGTTAAATAATTAGTAATAAAAATGAGTATCTTCTGGGAATAAATTAGCATTCAATTAAAAATAAAAACGTAGAATAACTATTGACCATTTAATAATTAAATGTTGATATAATATTTGACTAATAACAGAAGTTGTGCTTAAATGTACAAACGCAAGTACATTTATAATAATTTAATAATCCGTTAAAATAATTTATTTTTACGAACAAAGTAATAAATTGTTCTTTACACTTAACAGGGGGTCGTTGAACTTTCTCAAACCATTGAGAAAATTTTACCATGCTTGATATTTGCAGTTTCTTTGGATAATGATTATTATTTCATCTTTTCAAACGCACCTAATTTACTTTGCATAATTTTTTCGTCGAAGCTCATTGTTCTCGCGAACGTGAGATGGGAAATGCGTGACGCATTCTTTCCTCTTATGTTAGATCAGATTATAGCTGTATTCATTAGAAACGACGACTAAACGTTCAACGTGTCTTAACGAAACTTCATACCTTTTTTTTCCCTTCGTGTCAGGTACTAAAAATTGTCCTCAAACTGCTGCAACAAATAGCTATTAAAATCACGTGAAAGAAAATAACACACATATACATACGCTTAGTATAGATAACCTACACCAAAAGATACTACTGATCGTTATCACGACTATTAATTTTGCGAGTTTACGATTGAGAAAAGATCAAGGCTACGTTTTACGAGAGAAAGAGAGAAGGAAATGAGAAATACGATATTTTCAATACTATCTGAATGTTGTTATTCGTTGAATAAAAAATAATCGTTGCATCAATTTCGTTGAAATAATATTTTATACTTGAATAAATTAGAAATAAAATGATTCAACTGGAGTATCTTCTTTTGATTTTCGTACATTAAACCCTACCATTCCCTCGGCCGTGAAATCAAATAAAAGTTAGTGTCCCTTGAACGAGCTGTCAAGGTCTTACAAGGATAAATTGCAATCGCATTCTTTTTCTTCGGACACTATGTTCACAAATGGATACGATTTTTCTTAATAAATCGTGCTTAATCGTTACATAAATTATATTATTTTTTCGACTTTTCTAATTATTAGATAATTACATATAAAAGAAATGAGGATAATGAAAAAAAAAAACAAAAAATAAATTAGTAGGAATGAAAAAGTAAAATAGAGAAAATAAAAAAAAAAAGGAAAATTATCATCGTTGGTCAATTAGAAAAATATAGGAACGTCAACGAATTAACGATGTTTGTGGGCGTATAATTGCAGAATTGCCGTGACTGAACATCGATGATGGGTCCCGCGACCTTAATCGGAAGACCCTCTGAAACCCATAAATGGAATGACGACGCGACTAAACTCGATTTGACATCCGCAATTTGATCGACACTTCCGGTTGGCTTCTCTCTTTAACTTAGGCTATATCAATGATTTGAACGATTTCAGTGATACATCTCAATCGATGTCCAATTTAATCTTTAATTTACTTCTTAATTCGATAATAGCAGGGATACGGGTAGTTGAGAAAGAAATGAATGATGAAAAAGAAAGACAAAAATATAAGAAGAAACATTATTTTTTTTTTTTTCACAAACGACTCTCACATCTCTCCCCCCACACACTCTACGATCATTTAATGATTCATTACGATGTGCGCATCCAACATGGTATAAGTGCACGAGTATGGGTCAAGGTTATTTTCTTTAAAGAACTGCGTCCAATGCCTGCTGTCCCCCAACATATTTTTCATCGTTACTAAAATATCATCTCATAGACTTGTTGTTACAATTCAAACATATTCCTGAATAATAATAATAATAATATTAATCAAAGTTGGATCCAGTTAGAAACAATTTCATTAACATTTATCGTATCAGGTAATTCAACATTTATTCAAGAAAAACGAATAATAAAAAAAAAAACTTTGCGTGTAGTAAGTAATTCCAATGAACTGGACAAGCACTCCAACTCCGATAGGAGAGGCTTAGCTAAAATTCCAACGTTCCGGCACGTGATCAATCGCGTTTGGCCTATTAACGAGTACCTCTTCTATACTCTTCGTAAGCTGTATCAGGTCATCGTCTAACTATTGTACAAGGAAAAGTGGACAGTATAATGACAACGACGACGACGACGACGACGACGACGACGATACGAGGAGGAACAGACAGAAGAAGCGCAAGTTCAGCGACCGGTAAAGCTTTTCAAATTGAACGACCACGAGAAAGAACGTGTGGAAAAAGAGGAGAAAACTCTCTTCAATCCCGTCTACTACACGTTCTAAGATGCACCCACACAGCATCCCTGATTATCTGCTACTTGTACGGAATCATTACTAAGAAAGCTTCTTTCTCTAGTTTTATCTTTTTTTTTTTTAGAAAAAGGTCATATGGATTCAAACGATACAACCCATGTTACGTTAGCTTGAACTTCTGTTAAACATTTCCAACAGTTTCAGTTCATTAAAACCAGTATCAAATAATTGATCAAGATTCAAGTTTAATTCCATGAACTCTAACTCCGTTAACTTCAATTATTTTCTAGTTTACCATTGTTAGATTAAATCACGGGTCAATATTTCTCAACGTTAATCAGTTCATTCAAATTGCCAACTATTCGCTGGCTCAATATTCAATTATTTATAACTGTTGTTTAAATGTAAATAATTGTTTACCATTTACGATGACCAAAGTAATCTGAAAATAATGACAGAATTATTTCGTAGAACAACAGATATATATTATATGATTACTTCATAAATAAATATTAAATTTGTTAACAAGTAAATCGAATGAATTACTGCATCTTAATAATATGAGAATGCAAGGATGAAAATAAATGACGCACCGTATCTAAAGAGGAGCTCACAGCTATTTTCGAAAGTAGTGGCAATGCCAATGAGAAATTATGCAATATTGCGGTGAATAATCCAGTCCGAATTGACAATCTTAACGTAAGACCTTGACTGCATCATCTTCTACTCTTCTTAATGGCAAGGAAACAAATTCAGTTGCTAAAAAACAACGGAACGTTACGCGTATTCCAAGACCCGTGAAACTAATTTACAACCTGGTTGTGACTGTTGTAAGTTTTCAATTGAATTTCATTGAAATAAGTTCTTTGGTATCGATAAAGGTACACCAACCTTGTTAACTATCCCTATTGAAAAGATATTTGAAAATAAGTGTCAGTGTGATCGAAAGAAAAAAAATAACGTGACGCAATAAATTTGTTGTTTCATTCCATTTGATATACATACGCATAACTTGCATTACGTTTTCCTTAAACGACATCAAAGTGCACGATTTACACCACATTTGGATCGTAATCCCATTGCTGTGTCCCCGTGTCACGTTACTTTCCATAGCAGGTTTACAACACAACTCTCAAGAAATTTCACTGAAATAGAAAAAGCTTTACTTTCTGGTTTTGTACTCTAACGATGAAACGACAACCTGCCGTCGGCAGTTCGTGCTACGCTAAGTTACACTGCATGGATTAAAGAAATCCTCTCACTTGGTATGTCCTCTTTAGCAGTTTAACAACCGCATGCCGATAACGATCCGATCGTTGGCGCACATCGGTGATTACATCAGCGTTAAATCCGTATCTCGTTGTCTATCCTGTCAACCAACCGGATATAATGATAGTTCTTTTTATTTTATTAAGGTAAACAATTATTATCAAAATAGTTCCAATTATTCTTTTATAATATTTTTAAAACAACTATGACAATGTGACCATTCATAAGATATCTTATTAATTAATAAATTTCAGCTTTTATCTATCCACAATAAAAAAAAAAATAAACAATGAAAGCTTTAGTTATATAATCGATCCTGTGTTTTGAGATTTCTATCAATATCATTTGAATATTATTAAACAATTTTTTATCTCACTCTCTTTCGTGTCGTTTAACCCTTTGCACTCGAAGTTATATTTTTCATTTCACATATTACTAACAACTTACAAAGCAATTTCAATAGAAACAAATAATCATATTCACGTTATTATAACTAAATGACATATGTGTAGTTAAAAGAAAAATCATATTTGTGATATGTTGTAGACTGAATTGAATTTGTTTCAATTTTTATTTATTTTTTTTTTTTTTTTTTATTGTCTCCGTAGTGCTCCGTATTGTCTCCCCGAGTGCAAAGGGTTAATAAAACATTATCGAAGTTTCAGTTTAAAAAGTATCTTACAATTAGTATTCTTACTTACCCATTAAAAGAGTGCGNTTTTTTTTTTTTTTTTTTTTTTTTTTTTATTGTCTCCGTAGTGCTCCGTATTGTCTCCCCGAGTGCAAAGGGTTAATAAAACATTATCGAAGTTTCAGTTTAAAAAGTATCTTACAATTAGTATTCTTACTTACCCATTAAAAGAGTGCGTTTAATAGCGTATTACTGTAACTTCCGGTCGCATTACACGACTATACGATGTAAGAATCTCGTTGTACAAGTTAGTAGTCGTAGTAATTAACTTTTTATTGTAACCAGTGCTATAGTTTAACGTGAAAAGAAAACGTGATAACGGTCGAGTGTCAGTGATGGTAATTAGCATTCGATGGAGGACGCTACATTTACATGAAATTTGCACACACACACACACGCGCGCACACATACGTAGAAGCGTGAGCACGTTAAGAAAAGTTGTGTAAACACGTATGCAACAGTAACAATCTAATATCACTTACATGAGACATAAAACCAAGATATTATAATAACATTTTTCATCAATTTTCGTGCTAATTAATTATTCAAGTATGTAATTTCGGTTTCTATGAATATCAACTTAAAATGTTAACAACGATACTAACAATAAGTGCAAGATTTGATGATAGAATTGCCCTTGATGACATCACGCGTATGACAGATTGATGAAGTGTGACCCATTTTCTTTTCCTGCACCCCTTACATTAGCAACCATGCCTAATGACGGTCCCAATGAGATGACGTCGTCATGATTAACTTTGGCAATGATAATCGATGACATCATATCACGAGAATTACAACATATGATTAGATTCATAGAGCTAAACATCGTCGTGCGGTATCACATCGAGCATTATAAATTTACACAAATCAGTGGTCTTACGGTAGATGAGTCAGCTTTTGTAATTTTGGTAATTCGTCTTATCTATCCCACGTTCAGTGATTTTTAAATGACGAAAGATCAACGTTGCTTTTATTTGTTGAAAAATTCACTTAACGGATCCGTTTAAGAGAAGATGAAGGGGTGTGTGAGCAGGGCAGGGCAGGGCAGGGCAGGAATGTTGATATGAATTTTAATCGCAGACATTAAAAGAAAAATACAAGAAAAAAAAGAAAAGCGTTTTGGCCTTAAAACGTTCCTGTGCTATGTGCAGCACATATGGGAGGATGCAGTAAAGCATATGAATCCAACGTACGTAAAAGTACGAAGTAGAGTCGTCTATGCACGTGGGCGTAGAAAGAAGGGTGCGTACAAAGGCTGAATAAAAGGCGAGGGGTCGAAGTTAGAAAGGGAAAGAGGAGTGTGCGGAGAAGAGAGAGAGGATTCTAGCAGGAACGCCAGACATTGAAATCGATAATAAAACCGGCGCGTCGTCGCGCAGCATCCCTGCTTGCTTGTTCGCGTTTTCACTCGTTACTCTTGAATATTATTAAATTATTACAAATATCTATTATTTCATTATAACATTAACATTATTATCTCGAGGAACAAAATTCCAACTAGTCCAGGTATCTTATTGTACGAAAAGATTAAACACCTCGTATATATTATATAATATTTTCCATAGACAAGTACGTGTAATAATAAAAATAAAAAATGAAAACAACACTCGACGAAGTACCAATGCGACTAATGAGAAATACAAAGCTATCAAAATAAAAATGTAAAGTAAAGAAAAATAATAATACACAGACGACTGCGTTAGTTAAAGCGTAATCAAAATGAAGTTACTTGGGTAGACTTAAGTGGAAGGGTTGCAAGCACAAACAACTCTTGAAGAAATGAAAAATCCTGTAAGTCTCGCGGATGCGAACGCACGTTATGCGTCTACTGCAACAACAAGAGAAAAGGGGTGTGTTTAATTGAAAATCCAAGATAGAGACGCAAATCCTCCCTTACTATGCTATAACAACGTCGCGATTAACTTTAATTTATTATCGCGAATTATTAACAACTAGTCAATTTAACTTTGATTATTATTATTTATTGATATCAAAGTTCAAACTATCGTAAGAATTTTGGTTGTCATTGCACGTGCATTAAAAATTCGTAAACGTTCTCATTTGATTAATTATAATTATTATATTTCAGTTGAACTATATAATTCGTTGAAAATGATCTTACAGGGCACACCTAAGTTTTAAGTACCGTCTTATGTGGATACTTATTACGAAGCGTAACTGATCACTGGTGTAGAATTATCTATGCGCTCTATCGACTTACCGATAATACCAGGTTACCGAATTAATCGACCGAATCGTCATCGTCGTCGTCTTCGTTTCACATTGGACGCTTCATTTGCTACAAAGAAAAAAGATTACTTACTTTTAAATTGGAAGCAACTTGCAACACGAATCTTTTACTTTTCTTTTCTTATTTTACCTATTTATTAATACTGAAATATTTTCAATACTAGTGCGTACAACTCTAGTAAAAGTTAATTAAAAAAAACCTTTGCAACCGTTAGCATTTAAATCAGAGAAAGATAAACTTTGAAGTATCATTGATAAATGAAACTGAAAGGAAGCAAAGAAAATAGTTCAAATGGAAGGAAGAAAAGTATAGGAAATAAAAATAGTGGAAGATAGAATCTCTTACAGGAATTAGCATCCTTGACAAGTGAGTTTGCTTGCATTATAGCAAACGTGTATAATGAAAAGTAGCAAGTTCGCAAACAGGTATCGGCCCGGCACAGTCTGTCTCTCCAAAAATAGCAACGTGTCACCTTTTCCTTTGCGTTCGACTAATTCCCCACGATCCGATATAAAAATATCTTGTCTTGTTTTCTTTTTCCTCCTATCCAAAACGATATTACGATTTTACAAACTCATACTTTAATGGTAAGAGTAAGTAAGTTGCATATGTACATGCGAATGCAAGCTTGTTAAGAATGTTCTCATGGTAAGAAAAAAACAAGTATGCATGAGTATCATTTTAGTCATTAAAAATAATGTTGAAATTGTCATGATATGTTTCTCAATATGACGAATTAATAATTATTGGTATTAAAATCTATTATGTCTATGCAAAAGTTCTTTTTAACCTAATAATACTTATGAGAATACTATCCAAAGAATGGTAGGTCAGAAAATGAACTTAGCGCAATACCACGGCCGGTGCAATTAACGACAACTGGATTAGCACTCTAAGGCTTTCACCTCTGTTTTCTTGAGAAATAATTCTAGCCTGGTGGCACTCTTATAAAACCTGATCGAATCCAAGAACCGTTTCATACAAAAGATCTTTTATTTTATATCAAACTTGTTTAACAATGCACTTGGATATTATTCTTCGTAACTCTCATCTAACAAAATGACTAAAACAATCATCCAATTTCTATTTCAATTCTTAAGATAATCATACTCGGATTGGTTAATAAGAACTTGAACAATATATCGTTGTTTTCATTGATAAAATAATCCAAGCATTTTTCCTGAGATGGCATACGTCCGCCTTTTTTTTTCTCTTTCTCTTTTCCTCATTCTCGTTGCATTTCGTTATGAATTACGTAAACGTAGATGACGTCATCCTTCGCGTGAGTACTCACGATGCTCGAATACATAATCCAAAGAACAACCAGCAACGCCCAAACAAGAATATATAATCAACAAGACATTCAATTGGAATCAAAATATTCTAGATGATAAATCAGTACATATTAACTTGTTCATTCATACCTTTATGGTATCATGAATGCCAGGTTCATTAATATCTTGAATTTTTATAACAACCTATTCCCGTATTTGTCAAATTATTTGAACAAACCTAACAAATAAATAGCATATTTGTTTTAACAAATAACTTTATAAACTCTAGTGATTTAACTGTAGGATAAGTTTCCTTTAAAAGGATCAAGCCTAATGTTTGGATAGTTCTAAAGTTTAAATTCCAAAAGATATTAAAGGATACCGATTTGACGAGTTGTCTGTCAGTTTATCACTCATCCCTCAGTGAAAGTGTAGATTTGTCGTGTTGCATGAGAAAAGGGATGAAGACTATCGATTTCCATCAATAGAAGAGACAGTAGCACGCAGTTCGATACCGGAGGGGGACTTTACGAGGTTTCCATCGCATCATGGATTAGCAGTCTTCCAACGAAGCGCATAGTTACTGCCAAAATGAATTTCACCTATCATCCGTATAAAGATAAAACAAGATTACTATCTTTGTTCTCTTCATTATTCGTTACTTTCCCTAATACTTTCGATAGTCCGTTTATCTATCTCCCTATTTCCTAGCCAAAGCTATTAATTGTTAATTATGAGCAATCTGATTAATCGCGACAACAAGGGGAGACTTTAAATCTTTTATAAAAGAAACTTCCGACGATTAGAATTAATTACAGTAGTATTTTTTATTTTTTTTTTCATTTTAATTTTTTATTTTCTTCCTCGAGTATCTATAAAGACAAATAGTACAAAATAAGCGTGGAATTAATTGCGATACAAAAAAAAAAAAAAAAAACGAACAAACAAAAAATTATCTCACATCAGAGAGAAGAAGTGCGGATAAATGATATTTAATCTAGTTTTTTTTTTCTTCAGTCGGTACTGAATAACATGCTCTGTCGGTACGTTAGATATATTCTTGGTAAAAGCAGTCATGTAGTCCTAGCAAACATACTTCTTACTGTTAAAAGATAGTTAACTAGTTTCTTATTGATTTTTATTTCATGACTAACGGCCGATGGTATCCCAATAGTAAGCAGATCATAAAAAGATTTGGCAAACAGGAAAACGTTAGCTTTCAAGTACACTCATAAACGATATTAAATGAAATGACAAGTCATTTATTGGGTTGAATCTACAATCATCGTTTTGCAACATAATCGATTATAAATAAATAGCATATTAATACTTTCGCATCGTTTGTTGTTAAAGTAGTATCCTACTTAAAAAATTATTGATCGATTTTTCAAAGTACTTGCACAACGTATGAGCAAACCTTTTGATAAAAGCAAAAATCATTATCACGCTCGTGCAACACGCAGGCAAACTAACGTCAGTTTCGTGTCCAACGAAATCAGGCTATTTAAAATATTATTTACCAGACGTGTATACACTTTAAAGTATTCAAGAAGTATCTATCCAGCCAAATACTTTTGAATATTTGAGTAAGACGCATAGAACAACAACCTTGTTCTATTTCAATAAGAATCTATTTTTAAGGATGCAACAATTCGTTAGAACGAATAATACTACTACTGGTCGGAAAATTATTAAGAAAATTGTCCGATGTGGGTCAATAATAAAACGACAACTGTGTTTTTACGCGACAATTTGTAATATCGAGCAATCATCTTTTTTTCTTGTTTTGTTTTTTTTTTTTTTTTTAACGTTATTTCTTTCTTGCACGTCACTTTTGTAATATTGATTTTACCCATAAATGTTGTTACCATTTACCTTCTTTATTTATGAATAGAAACAATATACATTTGTGTGACTGTTATACCAACGAACAAATTTTATTCTGTTTCAGGTAAGAAAAAGGAAAGGAATCTTGTTCAAGAGAAAAATGACAAAAATAAAAATCGAAGAAATCCGAAGCAAAAGATGATACCAAAAATAATATTTAGACATTGAATCGTTTAAATACTTTAACTTAATTCAATTTCAAGTGAGTAAAGACCAAGGATTATCTGAACAGTTAAAAATGATTAAAAAAAAAAAAAAAAAGCAAAAAAGAAACAAAAGAAAAACTTTAATTGATTTTAATCCCCTTTATAATCGTCAAATCCACACTCGTTATCCACTAAAGCTCACAGAATGCGACAGAACTCATAAGTCTTTTCGTATCAATATCATCGGAAGAAGAATATGTGGTTGGTAGCAAAGAAACCGTGGTAGTCGAATGAATGGCTCGACTGTTTCCTGACAAACTCTGACGTTTCATGCACGAAATACCGACATGTTGCGCGATAATGAAGCGTGAATTAATAAGTCGACGATGAATGGAGACGCTGCTTTCGAGGTAAATCAGCGTCAAAACGATTTATTATGAGAGCTTAAACGTATTAGCTCAAACGAAATTCAACCAAAGGATACAATGGTTTGGACAATATTTTAGACAAATTATTTTACGTTCTACGTTTTATCCAATAAATATATTTCATTATACTAGTATAAGTATATTTTTAATAACATAAGATAACACATGAAGAAGAAGAAGAAGAATATCAATAAACGATTTAGCTTGCTCGTACAGCTGTTAAAAAAAAAAAAAAAAAATGATGAACTTATTGAAATAGCTTTGACGATCGTTAACGCGTACAATTTCATAAAGGAAATCCAAGTTTTTTCTTCAAATAATCCCACGTGAGAAGAGCTTTAAAGATATTCAGCAGGACGAGTCAAATAACTGCGGAATTAAAGCGGCAGCTTCGAAAAAGGGTACGGGGGCTGCGTGGCATCCTTGGTTGGTTGCAACCTTCTTTGCCCATCGGTTCATCGCGTTCAAACGGGGCCTGCGCGCGCGCACGCACGCACTCACTCACTCACTCACTCACTCACTCACTCACTCACTCACTCACTCATTCACTCACTCACGCGAGAACGATTTGCGATGCAAGTATTTCACACAGTCCCCGTGTAATTTAACGAGGTCATCCACTTTTTTCCCTTCCCTTCCCTTTTGGTTTTTTTTTTTATTTCTTACAAATGACAGTCAGGGTAAAGTACTTAAAAACGGCTGTTAACGTTCTAACTATTATTCACGTGTTGCTCTTTGACGGTATGCTCGTTGAAAGGTACTCTCTGGTACACTGAAATACAATTTTGTAGATATAAAAGGAATAAAGAATTCCAACCGTTGAAGATACCACCACGTTCCACTTAGGACACTTTGAAGACAACTGAGAAAATCAGGGGGATCGATCGTTAAATTGGTCCACCTTGCGTGTTGTTGGTTGCGTTCATGCTGTCACCTTCTCGATAGAGCTAGTAGACGCTGAACAGGAGCTAGAACGAAAACCGGGTCAGAGGCGGATATACGTATCGATAGTCCAACACCACCACCGCCCATTACCGGTAGTATTACCCTCTCCCTCTTTACGTCGAGGGAGAAACCGCACACGTTGATGGATCTGAAGTCGTTTCAAATCCTTACCAAACTCATAGTACGTCAAAGAAGAAGCATTAAGAAGACACACGTTCGTTCAATATACCCAACAACGAGAATTCCCATGAACGAATAGGAGTGGTACGCATTTCATCCACAAATGTTCTAATAATAAGTTCAATTATTTCATTATTCTTTTTATACATTTAGACGTTGCGTGCAAAGTTGAAAAAGTCGGTTAGAACGAGACGTAAATAATTGAAATTATAGTCAGTTTCTCATTTTTTTTTCTCTCCCTCTCTCTCTCTCTCTCTCTCTCTCTATCATACATAGTCGTGTGTCATGTGCGTGTATTTTTCGTAGGTGGTGTATAAACGAGCACCCGCGCATGTGTTAGTTGGTATATCGAGTGAAACTCCGAGTCTAGTTGTGTCTGACTGGGACGTTCGGGCGCAGGAGCAGAGGCACCGACAGGACAAACTGACAGGGGCGCACGTTCACGTAGGGAACGGAACGTTAGACGGACCGACGGGTAGAAAACGACGTACCTCTTACCGAACAAGGACTTTCAGACCTCGCTCAGTTTTAGTAACACACGAGACAGCATACTCGATTGACAGCATTCGACCACCTCTCTCCGATAGTTTATTTTCAAAAACAAATCAAAATATATTTTCAAAAGAGAAAAACACCTAGTTATCCTGAAGTTTCCAGGTAAGCTCGCACCAATCATCTCAAAAAGGCTTTTTTTCCTCCAAAGTTCGCGATTATTCTCGAGTGATCGTTCTTTTTAATTTTTTTTAATTTTTTTCTTGTTCTTTCCCCCCTGGTTCGTGAAAACGGAGATCGATGTGCAGAATGACACGAAAAAGGGAAGAGGAGACTGGAAGATAATCTACCGGGTGGATAGAATACTCGTGTGACGTGTCAACGAAACAATTATATTTTTTTCCTTCTTATTCTTCATCTTTTTTTTTCTTGTCGTGCAATTACTCGAGACGTTTTCTATCGTCGTATTTTTACGTTTTCAATGTTATAAAGTAGTTCTTTTTACGGTTCGTCGAATAAGAGAAAAATTTGTACGTGCCCTTAAAAATTGTACCTCATACCGGGTATAGCGTGCACCAGAGTGGAATGAGGTCGTAGGTCAGAGGCCTACTAAAGATTAATCTTGTTTTAATGTCGTGTGTTATCAAAGTGGATATTATTTTTTATGATTTTTTTTTTCTTCTTTAAACCAAATCGCGATTTACGTGTCGTCGTTCGTTGGTTCGTTCGTTCAAGAGAGAGAGAGAGAGAGAGAGAAAAAGAGGAGACCAAGTAAGCAACCTACTAAATTGTTCTAAAAAAACACAAATCATAGAAATCGTTAAAACGTTCGCGAATCGTTTGATCGTGTCATTGTAAAAATTGCAGTTCGATTTTGTAGTATCTGTCATGGCTGAATAAGAGATAACACCGCTCTTATGCAACTCTTACTACTCGCTGCTGCGTAGTATAGTCTCCAGAAGTTCCTAAAAGAAAATAAGATTGTTAATCGTGTTCTTTAAACAAGTTGAGAAGGACCAATAGTTCAATTAGTTCTTCTTCTTCTTCTACTTCTTTTTGTTCGACAATCGTCGGTGTTTTATCGACGAGCACTAGCACCAACTCGATTTGCACACAGGTATTTAAATGCTTCGACACTTATTCACGCGTAGTAGCAATTGTACTTAATTATCGTAGAAACGTTTAACAAAGAACAAATCAAACAAACAAACATTAGACGACGATCTCGATATTTTCATTTTTCTAAGTAAAATAAACGTATCATTAATTATTCTTCACGATAACATTAACGTTCATTCGAAGACAATTAGTTAAACAAACAAAAAGCAAGCATTAAATTATACTGACACTTCATATCATACAAAACAACTTGTTCTATAACAAACCCAGCCAGGGGCTGACCTACATTCTCATAATATTTCTTTCCATTGGTCGGGAAAAACCTTTACGATGTCAACGATTAATATACCAAGTTGAAGTCACGTTCGCGAAAGGTAAGACCTATTGTACGAGCCGGTTCCGTCGATGACACTAGAGGATAAAATATCAGACGAGAGTGTGATAAAAAAAAATATAAGTCGTAGGATAGACGGGAATGAAAAAAAGAATGAATAATAATAAAGAAAGGTATGAGAAAAAAGCGGATGTTGGAGCTTTAGAGCGAGACTCCATGACTAGGCTAGGCTAACGTTAGGGCATTGTGCTAGCGAGAAGATGACACTTCCTAAGAAAATAAGATAAAAGATTAGAACGATAGTTGATAAATAAAAATCAACAAGCTCAACGTGTTAGAGTCTTCAAAAATCGATAATGGAGTAAGTTTTCTTTTTCGAAAGGCGTTGGTACTACTATATCGATTATGTCACGATAGTTAAACTTCTATAAATTTACTTTATTTCTATCTTATCTTCTTTCGTTGTTGTTCTGGTTATGAGAGTATCAAAATAATCCTTTCTTATTACACACATTTATATATTACGTTTTATTTACGCAATATATTTGCAACAAACGAAGGTTCTAAACTCGGGGGCTAATGGATTAACATACAGGAAACAACGATGTGGTATCCGATAAACATGGCCACGTGACAATAGCACATCGTCATTGTAGAACATCGCAGCAGGTGATTCGAAGATGTTCCTTCTCGATAAAACTACGTTACCTACCCGCACACAGACTGACAGTTCCGTTCTTATCTGTCGTTACCCTCGATCTGCACGTACATTTTTATCCGTTCGATATAGAATTTTTTCTGCAAAATTATAAATTCTAGAAAAATTGTAACAACAACATTCGATACATTTAAAAAGAATACAAAAATTAGATTATTTTACTCGATCGTTAAAATAATATTCTTTCCTAAATTTTGTGAAATAATACACGTTCCCTCAATGTACATACGTCTGTTTGGATGCGTCAAACAACATCATTTCCCTTATCTTCCTTCATTTTTCTTCCTTTTTACAGTTGAAATATCGATTGTGCTGCGTTATTAGAGTCTCGCCCGCATTCGACGAGCATAGACAAGATAACCAACAGGAACTCCTACTTTTATTCCAAGTAATTCTTGTCTGTTGTCATTTCTCATTAATGTTAAAAACAATTCTGGTTTCTGATAGTTCGTTGTTTTCTTCTTTTTTTTTCTTTTCTTTGATGATCTTAAAATTAAAAGACCAATTTTTTTAAAAGGAAGATAAAAAAAAATGGATCATAATATTTCGAAACGAATAAAAAAATCACAGCCAGGTCATCGTAAATTCTGTAACCCATATATTAACACGTCGTAACTTCTCAGCATGTCTTCGCAAATGGGCATATCGATTTGGTTAGCTCGAAATAAGCCACAAAAGTGCAATAGGCGAGTCTCCTCTAGTGAAATTAATCCCCTATAGTGCACTAGTCGATTATCTTCGACAGTGTATCTAATCAAATCGTACTTTTTGCCATTTCCTAAAATAGAATGCCACAAATCCTAGGAAATCTGAGACGATAGGAAAATAACCTCTTATTGATACCAAGGTAAATTGTCGGTTTAAGGTGTTTCCATAAACGTTGGGCAAGATCGATAGGAACCTCTTTTACTCAATGTCATCATTCATCACACACAAATGTTTCCTTGCACTTTCTTAATCAAACGAAGTCTGAGACGTCTAGTCCTTAAATTAGGTTTACTTTGGTAGACTTTCAATCCATCCTAGCTAATTTCTAATAGGTTCCAATGAGTTATTGTTCTAATGTTTTTTATTTTCTCATAAATTTTTCTTCTTTATTTTTATTCTTGGAAGCCTAGGGAAGGCACGCGAACGCGTTAATTTTCCATATTAGATAAGAAATCATATATGAGTTGTTCTTAGTAGTCACATCTATTCATCGATGTGCATAAAAAGGATGGAATTGAACGCACACACACTCTCTCAACGGGCACGATCAATAACTCGAGGAATGGGCAGTTGGCCTGTACTCGTATAATGCCGACGGAGCAGTAGTGCCATGGCTCGTTTCTGCTTTTCCGACGGAAATAAGAGCGGAAGTTTTGAACGTATCTAAGGCTAGAACGACGATTTTCTCGTTCTACGATGAATTATATTCGTTCTAGGAAAATACTATTTTTACGCTCGTATACATACGTGATTATAATAACTCCTGCGAATAGAATTTAAACTTTTGCGATAATCGTTCGATCAATTGCAAAAAAAAAACCATTTCCTTTGTAAAACAATAATTCCTGATTTGAATCGATAAATGAAATAATTACAAAATTATAAAGAAAATCATAGAAATGTTATTGCGCAAATGAATTGTTCTATGATTCACTAACACGTGCACTATCGCGATCTGTGTCTCCTGATAAAATTCTCAGTCTCAACGAATCATATTTGCCTATGAATCATACTAATGTTTTAAGTCTTGATAGAACTTGCACGAAACTCACACCTCACACGTAAATTTCAATCCCAGCAGTCGTCGTCCAAGTGAACGATACTCACCGTTAAAGGATAAGAATCAGAAAAAAGGTGCGTGGACTGACTTAGTTCATTTCTTATTCTCAGACTATTATAATGAAGCAGAAAGAAAAAAAGAATAGCAGATAAGTTCGATAAAAAAAAGCAAGAACGTCTGAAGGTTAACACTTGTCGCGATCGATTACTTTTTTCCTTTTCTTTTCTTTGTGAAGTGAAAACTTCTTTAGAATGGGAGTGATCTGAAAAGTAAATAAACGGAAACGGAAAAGTCAATAAAACGAAAAATAATTGTAATGTCTGCAAAATTTTACAAAAAAAAAAAATTGATTATAAGATACATGAGAGAAAAAGAATTAGACAACATTGTCAGAATTGTAGGTTGAGTTTGGTAGGTGAGTATTTTCCGTAGGTGAGGTTTTTTCCGAAAAGTAGTGAGGTTTTTTCCGAAAAGTAGTAGTTTTTACTAGACTAACAGAAGTGTTTTGTTACCATGCATTTTTAAGTTACCAGAAGCAACTTGTCTCATTTCTTTGAATTGAGAACTTGCTTGCTGTGTAATATGTTATCTATTTATATATGTTTTTAATAAAACGTTTAATAATTTTTGAATGTGATAACAATAATATAATTATAATGTTATAACAAGTAAACCCAACAATTATCCTACTCCTGATATTCTGCAGTCGTCTCTTTCTCTCGAAACTTAGTTTTTCGAAGGTTTCACTTCTAACACGTGTGATCTGCGCACATGATATTTTTTTTTTTAACATAGAACGTGACTTTATCGAGGGTGGAAAAATTCAACCCTTACAACGAGATCCGAACGATTATTTTGATTCGTCTAAGTACTTCTTGTCCATTTCGTTTCTATGAATGAATTTATCGTTCTGTTAAAGATTTTTTGTTCGTAGACAAATTTTTTCTCACGTGTTAGTTCAATGTTTTTCTGAACAAATGATGTATGATGTATATATATATATATACATACCTGTAGATACATAAATCGTGTTCAGTATTATATTAAATCGAAAACACGAACTTGGATACCAAGATACTAGGTGGAAGTATTCGTATTTGCCAAGGTCAATCGCCGGTAGTAAGACGGTAACGCGATCTTTCATTGTGCCTAGCTCGGCAGTTATGACGGTTTGCGTGTCTTCCTCCGTTTACATTTACCCCTTTAGCCGTCTTTGCTTTCCGTTTCTTGTAACTTGTTAAGAACGCGCGGTAGTTTAACAGGCCGCAAACGATATTTACCATTATTTATCATGCAAGCAAGCAACGTTAAAGCTTCCACAAAATGACTCCTCCGAAGTTTAGAATCTAACTGTAAATTGTATCTTTCCAAATGCGTTCTAAAACTCGCACCTAATTATTCCGCAAAATTTCATATTCCTCAGGGAAGAGTATAGTCTACGGTTCAAACTATTGAAATTTATTCTATCGATCGTACGAGGGGCTACTTTCAAATGCAAAACGCTATCCGTACCGACTGCACTTTCCGATGATAAATATCATCACATTCAATAATTGACGATAAACGAATTTCATCGTTATTTGACCCTTACATAACTCTTAATTATTCATTAAAAAGGAAATTTATAAACGTAACATATCATCTACATCAATGATGTTAGTTTATTATCATTTGAATTCAAAATGATGAATATATTACAATAGTGCAACATCACTTAGAACAACGAAAAACTACGAAATAGGAAAAGCATGTAAATTGATACTCATGATCACTACAACCTTGTAAACGTAAAAGCACGTAATAATGAAAAGAGACACGTAGAATGCGCGAGGTAATTTATAATTGAAGGTTATCCTCGTTGCACGCATTGTAGGTACATATTAAAGTAGGCGCCGTCTGTAGCTGTCAGGTATATATCGTGTACCTGATTGCTATGAATTATTCGCAATACTTGCGAGATTTAAATGTCCAAGCTTTTATGCACGAAACTTACAATACGCGATTCGTCGATACACCAAATAAACAGGAATCTTCCAAGAGATGTTAGGTTTATTGTATTGTCAAATAATATAATGTTCTTCCTTAGAATAGAATAATCTAAAGTATACTTGGAAGAATCCTCTCAGTAGAGGAAACTGAAAAGTACAAACAGTAATATTGATACACGCTGGTAAAAGTTAGATTGTCGATATCACAAACAGGACACCCATATCCTGTTTTGCACTACACCGACAAAATCATGATTCAAGATGTAGCCACGTTATATTGGTATCGTGCACGTTGACTCTATTCACAGTCCAATCGAGTGACTGTTGTTGTTGATACGCAACAGGTTCCATGGAGGACCATTTTGTCAGAAGCTACAAGATGAACAAATCGATCTAAAAAGTGTCTATTACAACAGAAATACGTACGAACAACAATGGATCCGCAAGAAACAACGACTAACAATGCTGCTTTGATTCGCGGTTCGAGCACGGTAAGCAGAAGCAAAACAACAAAAAGACAATCAAACGGCAATATTAAAATATATCAAAAATCATTCATCAAACCGCAAGAAGAACTTGTCGGCAATTATTCATTTAGAATTCGACATTTATGATCATAATTCGTATTCGTTTGATGTAAATTTAGCAACGAGATGAATAGAAATAAGGAAAGATAGAAACAAATATGTGAGATAGTTGTATGTATTAAAGGAAAAGGGTTTTCTCGAGTCACGCCAAGTTAAAAGGTCTTTAGGAATCGTGATGGATATCGATAGTGTTGTATCTGGACTACAGTCATTCGTGGTTCGATCCCATAACGAAAGCAAAGTTAAGCAAGCGGTGGCAGGTACCGTGGAAATGTTTCTCGAGACGTCACCGTCGTCTCGTATTATCGAGAGATCGATGAGCCCAGGGCCGATATCGCGCATCCCAATTTCTTCGCTTTGCACGACCGAACACCCTGCCCTTGCACTTTTCTCTTATTTCCAACCAATTACTGATCTCGATGCCGTGTAAAATATCCTTTCGAAATAGCCCAATCGTTGGATGAACAGATATCTATAGCGATAAATAGATAAAATCCTATTACGTGCAAGGAACAGGATTTACGTAGGTTTAATATATTATAATTCGTTCCAACTTGTACTATTTGAAATATTATTATACTGATGAATCTTTTGAGAACACGGTAGTCTAATTTAGAAATAATTTGTATTTATTTAGTAATACCACCCTCCCTCCCCCAAATTAAAATCCACAATTATTTGGTCGTTTGAAAAAACGCGACTGGCACAATAGAAGTTCGCCACACTCGTTCTTATTAGTGTGGGGAGAAAAAAAAAAAGAAAATATTTAGGAGCACAACTGCCGACGATTGTTATGCTAAAATAGCAAAGCTTTAAAAATGGGGGAGCAGATTCGTCAGACTTGTACAATATACGAAAGGAAGGAAGGGCAAACTTACGGATTAAGGAGCAGCGTGCACGTTCGAGTGAATACGTGGGGTGCGTTTACCCTTTACTGTATAAGGATCCTCGCATGACGTACGTGATGTGGAACATGCGAAAGCCCAATATTCAAAAGACTTAAGATTTCTCCAAAGTTCATATTCTCATTAGAGATATTTCAAACGTAATTAGACGTAGTCAATTGTTTCCTTTTTACAAACTTCAAATAATTGTATTTGTTTTTTTCTTTTCTATTCGACCTATAAAAACAGAAAGAAATGTAATAGGAAAGAACATTTAATTTACGTAATTATAGATAAACATAATCTAGTTGGCACATCAGTTGAAAAACTTCGAACATTAGGAAAAATATATCGGTGAGGAAGTTGCGAGAATTCCAAGAATATCAAACAGATGTTTGCATTCCCAAATAACAATCGGAAAGTTTGAGTTTGGAGTAAATGCGAGATGAAACGTTCTTTCTCGTAGGTAAAGCAGGGTGCACCTCTATCGCAAGGCTTTCAAGCAAGACCCCAAGTTACTCCTACTGGATTTCCAAGATACCCAGTAAATAATGGCCCTATAGGAGCTAACCGTCCTGCAGGACAACAAGCGCAACACCCTATTTACGGTTTAGAAAGTCATACGTCCATAGGCCAATCTAAATCAAGCCAACAACAACTCGTACAACTTCGACCACACGGGCTTTCACCGAGGCCTCCTGGAAACAACCAAGTGCATCATCCTGGAAACCCAGTGCATTCACCTAGGCAAATACAAAGTAGACAAAATCCAGTAAGTCCTCAAAGTCCTCAAAATCCTCAAAATCCAAGATTCCCTGGGAGCCCTGGAGTCAGAGTAGCGAATCCAACGAGCGGAGGACCACCTCCGGTTCCACAACCGGTAGGACCCAGACCAAATTATCAAAGAAACGTCATCGAACAGAGAACAGAACAAAGAATCTTGAATTTGTCCGCATCGGCAAGCACAAATCAACAGCAAGGGCAAAGTTTCAATTCACCGAGGCCACTTAAAAATTCGGTGCCACAAAGACCGAGGAATGATCCGTCCTTAAACACAACAAGACCGTGTCAATTATCTAATAAGGAGAACAAACAATCTGTACGTCCTCGTATAATCATAGAAAAAATGCCGGACTTGGACGAAGAGAAGAGCGATCTCGTCCGAGAGAATTCGATTCAAAAAAAGAAAGCTGACGTTCGCGGTAGCGGTGAAAACGATGACGATGATGACGACGTTGTGATGGATACTGAAAAGTCACCTAGACAAAATGGTAGCACGGTTTCCGACACCGATAAGTCGCCACGCCCAAGTGACAATTTACCCCCCAATAAAGACAAATCACCACAGAAAAATGGCAATGCTGACCGTAGTAAGGAATCCCTATCGGACTCTTCGGTATCTCCAAAAATAGGACAAAAAATGGAGGATAGCGGTAAATCAGTAACTCGGCCAGGAACAGCTACGATCGATACTAAATCCGAGAGAAAATCACCCGAACGAATGATCGTTCCTGTAAACGATAACGAACAGCCTGAAGATAAAGAAACTTCGAGTAAATCTTTATTAGACAAGTCGGAAGATAAAACGTCGAATAAAAATGATTCCATCGATGAGGATAAGTCTGTTCCTACTAAAAATGATCAAATTGGTGACGACGTTAAAGACGAAGTCAAGAAGGAATCTTCTTCTAGCAGTAGACCTGCATCGAGCAAAATGGAAGATAAAATTGATCAAATGAAAACCGAACAACGTTCCTCGGTCGTTGAAATGAAAATTAATGAGGATAGTAAGAGTGAAATAGTGCTAGACGAATCTAAAGAAAAGAAAGTAGAAAAGGATAATAATAAAGTCGATGAATTAACAACGAAAGAAGATAGTGCAAAGTGTCCCGCTAGTCCTCAAACACAAACCATACATTCTGCAGGTCAGAATGATCAAAGTGATTCCACGCCGACGAAAAAAGATCAAATTGAAGAGAAATTAACAAATTTGGAAAATCTTACAAATAATTTAACACCAGAAAACGTAGATCAAATGCCAAGAACACCGTCAAAGTCTCCTCCGTCAGCGGATATTATAAAAGAGAACAAACAACAAAGTCCTCCTCCTGCTTCTCCTTCTCCTTCAGTTGGAAGTCCTTCGAATATTCCAACGCCAATTAAGAATTCTGACGAAGCATCAAAAACACCATCAAAGTCTCCATCCCCGGACGTCACGAAGGAGGACAATTCTAAGGAAGCTTTAAACGATTCGCCGACTGTTCAATCTGCAGAACAGAGACCGAAAACTCCTGCTACTAAATCTCCTTCCCCTTCTCCAACGTCACCCTCACCCGATGTCGTAATGGATGATAAAAGAAAATTAACTCCGAGTCCTTCGAATAATTTAACGATGCAAAACCTCGAACAAGACTCGAAAACTCCGTCAAAATCCTCCGACATTTCCAGAGCCTCGACGCCAACGGTCGTGGACGTTCAGGCGGAAAATAAATCGGAAAGTTTAAATCTAGAAAAACCCAGCAGACCTACCTCGGCTTTATCAAAAGATTCTACTTCGGAGAAAGAGCAGACTCCAACTGTACCAGCGAGTTCTCCCTCTTTGGAAATGCAGGAAAAATTGTCCCTACCAGAATCCTTGCCTACACCACCAAAGTCACCTCTAGAAAGTGTTCAAGGTTTTGACAATGGACAGAGAAGGTCTCTGTCTTCACCAGGTTCCCCGAAATCACCGAAATCAGCAATCAGTATAAAGCCTTGCGAGGGTGAAAAGAAAAAAACTACCTTCGCTGAGGATTCTATCATCAAGAAGGACGAAAGCCTGGAGGAAAAAACGGAAGGTTCCTCTCGAGAAACTTCGAAACCGACAACGCCTACTGGAAAACCACGACGCGCGCAAACACCCATTAAACTACAGAGCGAGAAACGAAAAAAAGGTTTTGCCAATTGCAACATAAAACAAAGTTTACTTACTTGCACTCCCATTATTCTTCAAAGTGGTTCTGAATGTTTTGCTATTAATTATTCAACTGGCAATGAAATTTTCTAATAGATACGCTTATTTTTCTCACACTTTTTACGCTTGTACTTGTATTATAATTCATTTTGATATTGAATATTTTGATTTGATCGTTACGACGATGATTTTGCTTCGGATTTTTGCTATGACCAAAAAATTCATAAATTTGATCTAACATTTGCATCGTATTTATTTTATTTTCGCAGATATTGAAAATGACAGTGCTATTAACGATTTGACCAAGCATAACGTTGTGAGTATTATAAAAAATAAAAATAAAAAATAAAAACAATATAAATTAATCATCTCTTATATTATTTATCTATTACAGTCACCAACTACGAATGGAGTCGCAGATTCGCCAACAAAAAAATCACCATCGAAATCCAAAGAGAGTGATAAAAGATCAACAGCTGGATCGCCGACAAAATCGCCTAGCAAATCTAGCAAATCATTGCCAAAAACTCCAGAGACACCGTCATCGACAGGAAGTCAAGAAAAAAAGAGTAAGTTAATCACGAAAACAAAAAAGATCCTTGATAATCCGATATAATTGAATGTGGTTTTTTTCTTTTTTTTTTTTTTAATGATACACAGAGGTGCCGATGAACAAAGTTCAAGTTGGTGCGGCACCTTCGCCGAATTTGAAAACTGTACGATCGAAAATCGGTTCATTAGAAAATGCCAGTTACAAACCTGGTGGTGGAAAAGTTAAAATAGAAAATAGAAAGTTGGACTTTAGCAAGGCACAACCTAAGATCGCTGCGAAGAACGAAAAATACACGCCCAGTGGCGGTGACAAAAAGGTGAGCTTATCATTTATAAATTTGAATGAAAATAAATGTGTTTGATCTTGAAATTTTTGCCAATGAAATTAATGAACAATTAATAATTGTTCCACATAAGTGGAACATTGTGCCAAGATTTTATTATCTTCGTTGTTGGCTTTGGTAAATCAAACTTAGGTACAATGCTTTCTTCTTCATTTTATTCTTTTCATTCTCTTTTATGTCGAATAATAATTATTCATTTGACAGATATCTCAAATAAAACTTCAATGGAATGCAAAACCCAAAGTGGGCTCTTTGGATAATGCCACGTATAAACCCGGCGGCGGTGATAAAAAGATCGAGACAGTCAAGTTGGATTTTAAAGACAAAGCTAAACCAAAAGTAGGCTCGAAAGATAACGCCAAGCACGTACCTGGTGGTGGAAGTGTCAAGGTAAAGCATTTCTTTTTAACATTTCATCGCAAACATTATTATATTGGCCTTGTATCCTTGACAATTCGAGACTTTATTATAATATATTATTAATATTATTATTATTATTATTATTATTATTATTATTATTATTATAAATTTTAACCACTGATTTCAGCATGTTCATGTTTAACTCTAATGCATTTACTTACTTAATTATTTCTTTTTTTTTTTTTTTTTCCAATTATAATATAATCTAGAAAAGTGCCGTTAGTGTTTCTAATGTTTTTTATGCATTATTATTTTCGTAATATATAACACAGATTCTCATAGATAAATCAAGGAAGAAGCGAGTAATAATAATCGATCTAATTGAAATCAAAATGAAAACGATCAAATTTATTCCTACATTATTATCATTAATTTATCATTGATTTACCTTCATTCATATTTGTCACAGTGATTAACAAAATGCTCGCTTCGTTCGTTCAACCAGAAAGTCAAAGAAATAAAAAGCCAACTACTTCGAACAAACAAAAAAATTACAAATACTACTTACTTATTCGTCGTGAATGAAACGTTGCATGCGGAATGCATATAAATATGCAACTCTATAAGAATTTAGTTCCGCGATATTTGATATATTGTGATTTAGTAATACATAATTAAAGATAATAAAGAAAAAGATTTAGTTCGTCGAAGATTATCACTACATTTTCTCTTCCGTATGCATGCGGTTCGTCCACTTGTCATTAATTAACAAGTCATTGTTATTTCTTGGTGTTCAGTCATCGGCGACGCCACCAAAGACACCGCAGGACACGAATAACGACGTAAGTATATAATGGTCAGTTAAATAAATATATATATACAAAGTCTCTTCCGCATCTATTCCTCTATTTGGGTTCTTTCTCGTCAAACGGTACAAGCACCCCGTATGTCGGATTATCTTATTGTTATTATCAACTTTTAATTCAAATGATATTATATATGAAAGTTTGAAGGCACGGCTGAACACTAATGAATGAGCTAACTAATGAGCTTCTTTTTTTACTGTCTTATATCATTTTATCACACACGCGAAATCCATCGATTGAAATCATAATTTATAATAATATAATCATAACATTATCATCCACTAACGTGAATAGAAAAACTAAAACATTATTATATTATATTCGTCCGTTTTATTATTTATTAACAAACTTGGATTCGTGCCATATCGTCGTTTTCTGATCATAAAATGTGCATACTATTTCGCTGGATGTATAAAGGTATATTTTTGATTAATCAGCAAAGTAAGTAAAAGTATTGTTTTTCATCGGAGAAAAAAACTCTAGCATGACGAAGCATGTCTCAAAGAGAGTATATTACTAAATTATACATTTTTTTTATTATTATTATTATTATTATTATTATACAATTTATTACATGTTACGCCATATTATTGCGACAGCAGTAGCATCAACTATCAATATTTGTTTGATATTATTTTAACGATTATAGAATACGATAATTTGTACTTTTTTTTTTTCTTATTATCGTAGATAATAGTGTAGAGCTTATTCGTGAACGAGTAAAATAAAACCATGACTTTAAACGCATCCATTTTTTTCTATGCTGCTTGAACTTTTATTTCACTGTTCGATCACAATTGAAATGAAATGTTTCATTTTGAATGATTGATTTAACAACATGAGAATTATATTTGCAGATACAAACGCAGAAGGTTGATATCAAGGCTGAAAGTAAAATAGGATCTATGGATAATGTGAAACATAAGCCGGGTGGCGGTGACAAGAAGATCTTCAACGACAAGGATTATCTCAGACAGACAGGCTCAAATGTTGAAAGTCTTTGCGGTAGTGGTTCACAGGTATGCTTTTTTATGTGTAATCCTTCACGTTAAACAACAATTTACAACGATAAATTATAAGATTATTTCTAAGATTCAAATTAATTAGTTATTTATTAGTTCGAAACGAATCGATGCTTTTTAATTTGTTTTTTTTTTTTTTTTTTTTTTTTTTTTTTTTTTTAATGAAAATTCGCACTAGCTAAACTACTCGCTTGAAATCACTCGCGCGCTGCATGTTGTCTTTTTTCAACGTATTATTTCAGCACACTTTTATTTTATTAAATATCGATAACCCAACTATACTAACGGGGAAAAAGAAAAATAACGAAAAAATAGAAAGGTTGTATTAAAATTTCGTTAATTTCGTGTACATCGTACTCAACATTAAAAAAAAAAAGAAAAAAAAAAGAAAAGATCTCCAATTACGTTAAAACTTAGTCGAGATTTGCAAATGGATGGAAATGGAATGAACGCGCAACCTTGCTCAATGGGTTTTTTGAGGAATAGGAATAGTTTTGTTGTCGGTGGGAAGGTTTTTCGGTTTCTTCCTCTAATTGTGAAACGTGTCTTGTGCCCGCAGAGCCCAATACCCTCCGGCGCGATCACCGACGGCAAGAACGGCCTGCCAGCTTCGGACGAGAACCTCAACCAGGAATGCTAGCTCTTTCATGAAAAAAAAACAAAAACAAACAAAAAATAACTCGACCGATAAATTCTGGTCTTAGAAAAACTTCGTCACTTTACGTATATTAAACTCACGTTTACCTTTTTCCCCCGTTCCTCGTCCTCAACCACCCCTAACTCCCTCCCTCCCTCCCTCCTTCCCTCCTCCTGTTACTTCTACGAGAATCCCAACAAATGTGGGATCATTATACCATCCCCCTTTAAAAAAAAAAAAAAAAAAAAAAAAAAAAAGAAAACAAGAAAAAAGAGACTCTTTTTCAAGAGCTGATACTAAAAGCAAGCGTTTACCTTGTTAGGCTACCATTCCTAATGATCACAGCGGAATCATTCGTACGATGCTCTCGTGAAGATCTTGTTGTTTGTTTGTTTTTTTTTTTTTGTTGTTTTTGTTTTTTCTTCTTCTCTCTTTCGTACGGTCTCAACACTGCCGATTTTGTGATAAACAACTAACGATTAAACTCATTTTCGTCGAAAACGAGTTTTACACGGTGACTTCTAATAATTCACGGCAATGGTTGTTGATTGATTACTCTACCATTCTGTCTAAACTTTTCTCTCTTTCTCTCTCTCTCTCTCTCTCTCTCTCTCTCAGATTTTCTCTCTCTCTCTCTTTTGCATCAATTTTATATTCACGTTATATGTTCATCAATAATTGCAACACGCAAATGTTCACTTTAACATCCAACAAATAAATGCTATTATCGATTAAAGTAACAATCTGTTAATTATTTAAAAACGCGTTCATTTTTTAAAAACAACGTTCTATCGATTATTAGAAATAAAATCAATGATTTGATAATTCGGTACTAAGAAGTATTCAATTGTGTTTCTCTCTAATTTTCTTTTTTATCGTTGTTCTAAAAGACCAAATATTTGAACATATTTCTCGTGTAAATTTCTTCAAAGTATTCAACAAAACGTTTACGTTCGCGATGAATTCTGCACTGTCAGTGTTCTATAATCATTCACGCACTTGCATAGAGGTCATACACAGAGACAGAAAAAGAGAAAGAAAGATAGACAAAAAAAAAAGAGAGACAGAGAAATAATGATGCAGCAACGTCCGCATTCCGTACGTATGTCATCCATGCTAGTTGACATAACGTGCTTAATTAACATCTTTCACTCGTCATTCATTTTATTTTTTGTGTTTCATCATCATCGTCCTATTGTCCTCGTTGTATTTCTCTCATGTCGAATTTGATCGTGAAAACAAAAATTATTTCATCTTTATTTTATTCTCGCTACTCTAACAAGGGCAACCCCCCACACCATTCCAATAACAACACAACAACAACAACAAAATACAATTTGATTGAATTTTCTTTTTTAAGCTAACCTTCGAAGACGTTTTTTTTTTTTATAAAGAAAATAAAATAAAAGAAAAGAAATGAGATAGAAGAAAAGGAAAAAAAAAAAAAAAAGAAAGAAAGAAAATGTAGGAAATTTACGGTCGAGCTGAGAAAGCATCCAAAATTGTATACGGAAATGTTTAAATATTATATTTAACGAGAGAGAGATCGTCTTGTCGTTCGTATTTTTCATCGGATCGATCAAACTATAAAGCAAAATCCATGCAAAACCCATAATCAAGGATTGCAATTGCACGGTTGATTGATCACGTGTGATTCTTATTTAAAAAAAAAAAAGAAAATAAGTAAAATAACATACCTACAAAAAAATATATATATATATACACATATACGTATAGATAATTGTTTTCTTTTTTTCTAATTTTTTATGGTTCGACATAGTGACAAGTTGTTTTATTTTTTTTTTTTTTTTTATTTATTATAATCGTGAACGTAAGAGAGGTAAACGTTTCGTTCGATCATTGATGTACACTTAAGTTTATCTGATCGCTCGCTAACAAAAATAAACCAAAACAAAAAAAAAATGAAAATTAATGATAGAAGAAAAATCATTAGTGATTAGTATGAGCGATTTAACGATATTGCCTATTTAATTAATAATTATTAATTATTATTATTATTATTATTATTATCTGTAGTTCACGTTAAAATTCGATCGTCGATTTTATTCCGGGATTGGTCGAATCACTGAGAAAACAAGACTATAATAATACAAGTATTCGCACGTATCAGACCGCTTTCATCAATTTATTATAAAGAAAGAAACACACACGGAGAAAGAGAGAGAGAGAGAGAGAGAGAGAGAAATAAAAGTGTCTGATAGTGAGTATTGAAAGATGAAATATGAAGAAAATACGCAATTTTCGAATAGGAAAAAGAAAATATAAAAAAGAAGCGTGGTGGTGCGTATACGAGATATGATAATATTGTAAACGAAGGATTCATTTTTGTGAAATCGTTTGGTACATCGAACTCGTTTCAGATTGTATCTAAATGATGATCTAGAGAGTACGAGATATTTGTAATCGTTACTGTAGATACGTAAACTATATTGCTATTCGTTGCACTTATTCAGTATAATAATTAATCTATCGCTAGAGAATAATAATTATCTCGATAGGTAAGAGAAAAAATCAGGAGTCAGAGAGTATGCTATTATTGAAAAACGGTACGGAACGGAAAGGGGTAGAAAAGATAAGTAAAAAAAAAAAAAGAAAGAAAGAAAAAAGGTAAGGGAGGTAAACGAAAAGCCTCTTCTTGTTTGTCGTCTTCACTTTATGACGTTTCATGCAATTTACACGTCGCTAGAAAATACATGTATGTAATATTACAAACACATTAATAACTATATTGCTTCCATACTTGACTACTGTGTACCTCGGTTCGATTTTAACATCCGAATATTTCGCAATAACAAGGAAAGAAATGAAAAGCAAATAAGAACAAAAAAAAAATAAATACAAACAGAATAATGCAAACCAAAAAAAAAAAAAGAAAAAACTAATCTTAGGTTCTCGTAATTGTCACAAGTTACCACTTCGTACGAGCGCAATTGTGCAATGACTGTGTCCGGTATATCTTTTTCAGGAGGTTCATGCTGGAATATCGCAATAATATTTTTGTTTTTAAATTTACATTACTAGTCTCTCTCATTTATCAACCCAAATTCAATCCCTACCATGAATAATAAAAAAAAAAAAAACCAAGATTCTTCTAAAAAAAAGAACCATAAATTTAAAATTGCACAAGGGTAGAATTCGTGCATGTTATGGGGGAAAAAAAAGAACGATCCTAACAAATCTAACAACCGCTACTGCTGTGAATAGATGGAAAAATATTTCATAACTTGTTTACCCTAAATTTTCCTTAACTTTTTCCTCAAATTATATTCCCAATAGGTTTTAAAAGAACATGCCGTAGTAAGAAATTAGTTAAATTGCAAGAATAATCTATAAATATATCAGCACAGCGTGTATCCTCACCCTCACGTATATAACACACGCCGGCTGCTGCGAACTACCGTCAGAGCACTCACCGCCACTGTAATATCAAGGTCAGTTTGCACATTCGCTAATCTCGTATATCTCGTAATACAATAGTAATTCATTGACTTTAATACATGCATACATATGATCCTAGTATAAATGAACCATTGCCAATGAAGATCAGACACTTAAGTAAGAAGTTAATTTTTAAACAAGCATCCTGTATATTCAGGTTCAAAGTACCGAGGAGCAGATAACGGATGAGGAAAAAAAAGAAACGGAAACGAGGAATAGCGACCTACCACAGCCACCACCATCGACACCAACACGAGGACGTACTGTGAAATCACCGTCTCGGGTAGTAACTGCACAAGCTGTTCGCAGCAGCCTGGCCAAGTCACCAACGTCTAATAAAAATAATGTTCTACCGAAAGACGCAGATGTTCCTCCTGCAGCGCAAAATTTACAAAGGGATGAAGATAGGAGCGAAAAAACTATCACTGAGAAAAAAAGTCCGATCAAGGAAGACTCGGTGAAATCTTTGAAACCACCGAGTACTCCACCTCGTCCTCCGAATAATTTAAAATTAAAATATACCAATAAAACGTCTCCGAGAAAAACGTCGCCGAATGAGTTGCGTCTTCCTAAATTGGCAACTTCACCAGTTCATCAGGAAATTAACACAGTCTCGGAGACATCACCTAAACTCATTTTACCCAAATTGATCGAATCATCGATGCAATCTACTCGCGTTGCTCAATGAGTTCTTATTTTTTTATTTATATTTCATTTTGGAGCACGTGCGGTAAAATAATAAATCGATTATTACGTAGATTTAACTGATTTGTTTTTTTTTTCTTGTGCTTAATTTGTATTGTGTTGGCTTACATTTTATTATCTTACGGAGGATGAATCGTATTAATATATGACATAGCAGAATATAAATCGTTTATTTAATTTAAACCGTATCAAATATATATTTAAATGAACACTTTGTCGTATATCAAAATTACACCGTCTCCTTAATAAAACATCTCTAGAATATTGTAACTTAAATCTTATGTTAAACGTTATGATACATCCTAAAATGAAAATATGATATCCTGTTGGTTGTAGTATCGTAAATCTATGTCACTTTTTCTTTGGCAAAGGCGGTCGTACTATTTTAACATCAGCAAAATACGAATGATTCAAACCTTTCCTAGCTGTTATCCTTTCATTAGGATCGTATATCAAGAGTTTCTGTGGTCAATACAAAAACATATTATAATAAATAATACAACAATTATCAAGATTCGACGTTTCGTTCAATACAAACCATGAGTAAATCTTTGGCTTCTGCATCTAAAGTAGGTACAGCTTCATCTAAATCAGTCGGCTCCCATCTTGGAAACATTGATTTGTAATCACGAAGCTGCGTTACACCTGGCCAGATACTTTCATCTGGCGTTCCAAGCAAATGAAATATTTTAAACAATTGATCTATCTCTGAATCACCTGGGAAGAGTGCTCTTCTTGTAGCCTGTAAATAACAACATGAAAACAAACGAAAGAAGAAAAGAAAAGAATCAAAACGAAAGAAGATAACAATTAAAACACGTCAAGAATTAGATTCTTGTATATTTTACTGTTTATTAATTATTCCATGAGCTTTACAAACCATTTCTGCAAAAATACAGCCAAGGCTCCATATATCCACAGCACTTGAATATAATTTAGTTCCTAAGAGTATCTCTGGTGCACGGTACCAGAGTGTCACTACCTCATGTGTGTAAGTTCTCACAGGAATCAAAAAAGTTCTAGCTAAACCAAAGTCGGCTAATTTAATAGATCCTTCGCGATCAATTAACAGATTTTGAGGTTTTAAGTCTCTGTGCAATATGCGATTTAAATGACAAAAGGAAATCCCGTTTAGTAACTGAAAAAGGTAGCTCTGAAAATAAATATCTCTTTTATGTTACACATACTCTACATATTCCTTCAGCATTGTTTTCTAAAACCTTCTTGTAGATGCATATATATATATATATATATACTAACACGCATTCCATGTGTATTATATATTATATTCTTTTTTTTAACATACCAAGTTGTTATTGAATATTAATATTATAATGAAATATATAAATCCCCTACCTTAACAAGCGCTTGATCCAAACCGCTTTTAACAGAATCTAATAATTTCTTAAGATCCTGTTGGAGAAACTCAAACACAAGATATAAATGCTTATCACCATCGACAACATCAAATAACTGCACAATGTTAGGATGTGCAAGTTCCCTCAAAAGCGATATTTCTCTTATAGCAGTTGATGGCACCCCTTCGCTTTCCCTAATTGAAATTCATACCGCATGATTAAATGAATAGAAGAAAAAAGAAAACGAAGAAAAAAGGAAAAGAAAACTGCACGATTAATTTTATTTGTATAGAATTCTATAAGTAATACACATTCACAGTTGAAGAATATCCGATATATTGACCTATAGTAGTACAGTAACCCATTTTCTAGCAGTGGTGGTTATAACGTATTAATAAGAAGACAAAAAATTAAAATCAGGCGAGCATAACACAATGGAACAAGCTGAATAATGTGGTGCTACGACAATATAGTGTAACGTGGCCCCTCCAGATTCAGCTGACCCCAATGTGCAAGTTAGCATGTATGTTAGCAATGCGGATAAGCAAAAGACTTGTCAATATGAAGTCGTCGAGAGTCTGAAAGAGAACTTTTTAAGATGCGTGATAATGACGGTCTTGCAAGGCAAACATAAGAAATTTATTGAAGACTGGATAGCTCGTATACCATTGAAGCGAACTGCTTAAGAAATCATATAAGTGCTGCTTTAGCTGGTGTTAGCTTCTTTACATAATATATATATAGATTGACTTTACATAACACAGCGTCCCTTGATTCAACATAAAAATAACATTACTGAAGACTACATAAACAAATTACACGGCAGGTAATATTTCATTTCAACCGGGATTAAGAATCGATTATAGAATATTTCTATTAATAGAGAGATTTTATTCTTCAACAAAGATTTATATATATATATATTTCTCATAGAAAAGAATCAACTAAAAAGCATCACTTTGTTTGTGTTAGCACGAATAATTTTCATATATGAGCATTAAATAGAACAGTGTATTATTAGCTAATGGATTAATTGAGAAACCTTGTTGTTAAGATCTAATGAGAAATAATAAGATTATTATTATTATATTTAATATTTTGTTGAACGATCTCAAACGAAGCTTTTAACACCCGGCGTAACTACGTTTTCCCCGATGTAGACGGGGTCAAAATAAATTATTAAGAGTTACGAGCATTCCATTATTTTCATATTTAAATCATCCCTGCATAAAATAAAAAACAATCGGGGAAAGAACTTAAGTGTGCGTTAGAAAATAAAAATGACAATAAAAAAACATACGTCTCCAAGCGAATCTTCTTGAGCGCCACCAATTTGCCGGTCAGTTTATCCTTCGCTTTGTATACCACCCCATACGTTCCTTCCCCTATTTTTTCAATCTTCACGAAATTATCCATAACCTCAACGTCACGTTCGACGTCGTCTTTTCCTTGACACGCCGTCGTTTTGTCGTTTTTTTAATTGACGCCACTATTATGAATATACTCTTTACTACTTAGGATCGACGATGAACAATGCAGTCGATCGTCGAACACCACTATCGATTTATTGTTCTTAATGTTTATCAACAAGGAAAGAAGAACTGTACGCACGTTGACTCTTCCAGCGCGTAATTTTAGGCGTTTGCGCAGTGCCGTCCTTTCTTACTAGATGAAAATTTATCTAAAAAAACAAAAGAAATTTATTTTTCCTACTTTTTAAATGAACCTTTCAAATATGTATATATGATTTATTGCAGTAATTTACTTCGATAATATTATCATGTGTTCACGACGAAATCTATTATTTGAACAAGAATTTCAAATTTACCGCCAAGCAATGTCTAAAACTATTAATTTCTAATATTGGTTATCACTCATTAATTAATAGATACTAATCACATATTTTTGTATGCAAGGCTTAAATTTAAATGGAAACGTTTTTTATACACTGAACGATCTATTTATAAAGGCAAATTTGTGTTATCAATTAATTAATATATACAAGTATATGAACTGTCTTGTAGATTGAGAAAGAAATAGAACAGGTAATTGTTTTGTTGACAGCGCCACCTGATGTTATATATCAAAACCAATATTCTACTTACACATCGTGTTTATATTATAACAAATGAAATAAAATAATATACTAATTTAATAATTTTACGATTAATAGAAAAAAGTAAACATGATATATAAATTTATACAAATTTATATTTTGTTTTATAGTACTTTATGTTGCTTCATACAATAATTAGTAGAAAAATTGTATTAGAGTAGTAGTCTCATATATATCTCTATTTACATATAAAACCTTTGAGATATACATTTGTTTTATTTCACATTGCATTTTAAATAATAGACCTTCTTTGGTCAAAGATATAATGACAAATTTATTTACATATGCATTGGAATTAGATCATTGGAAAGAATTTTGCATGGATATTTTGATGTATTTACAATTATTCATATAACAATTTGATTGGTAATCTCTTATTAAAGTTCTTCCTGATCTTGTGAAAGTTTATTTTCCGACTGTATAGATTTATTTTGAACAAGACTGGACGAACTCAATATAACAGAAATTTGTTCTGGTAATGGACAAGCAATCAATAAAAGTTCTTCTGAACTATAGTACTTGCTTAACAATTGATACAATTGTGCAAATGCAGCACTAATGCTATTCTTTATTGGACGTAATAAAATAAATTCTGTCTCTTTGTTAGCTAAATATAACTGCATAGATTGTTGAATATTTGGAAGCTTAAATTTAATCGTTCGTAAGACATCAGCAACTATTGTATTTACTTCTTGCGCATTTCCAAAAATTTGTTGTTTAGTATCTGCATTGGAAGTATTAGAATGTACTTTTTCTTTTTCTAACAATTGCATAACTGGATTGATCAATATAAATGTGGCATGTTGAATTAATCTTTGGCAAGCATGTTTTAAAGTATTATCAACCTCTTTACGAGAGTCGATCAATTGCTCTTTCATTTTAGGTGTACCTTCTAATAGAAATTCCAACAAAGCATTATTCGACAAAGTAAAAAGTTTTGAACTTCTTTCCAGCAATCCAAAAGCTGCCATCTTCACTCTTGAAAAATCCAAACTGTATTCCTTGATGGTAAAGTCTACTTGAAATGGAGCTATTTGTTCACGTAATATCAATAAATGTTTAATTTGAAATAATTCAGCATCCAATGTAGAAGCTCGAAGTTCTATTTCATTTCTCGCTTTCTCTATACTTTGAACGCAAAGGGATATAGCTTCTTGACTTAACGATTGAAAGACTGATCTATCTACGCATCGATAAAGTCTTGACAAACAAACCAAAGTTCTACGAACTGTAGGATACCACATTCCATGTAAATCTGCTGGTGAACTACCCATGTGCGATTTTTGATAAATCGAATCCATTATAATATGATTTCTTGACACCGGCTCAAGTATATTACTATCATTAGATGATACAGATATTCTTTTCATTCTTGATTGACGTGTTTCTTCTCTTATGGATTCTGCAATATCTTCCATCATTTTTAGCTTTTCTGGATACGCCAAATCTCCTGGTGATGGACTATAATTCAATACATCAGATTGTAAATACAATTGTGCACGAAAAACTAGTCTCTCTTGCACGTCATGTAAAAGTTGCAAGCAAATATTCCCAAAACCTTCTAAAGGCTCAAAATTATTTTGCACATGTTCGTCTAACATTTCTATCCTTAAAATACAGCAGATTTCTGCTAGAGTTTCTAAATGATTAATGTGAATGATAAATGGTCTTATAGTGTCGTATAAAGAGGTACACAGACTTTCTAAAAACGTTGTTAGGCCTATGGATGGCTTAGAAAAGAATTCGTAAAACAATCTATATTCGTCGACGGACGCGTGTAAAAGCAAGGCACACGAATGTCTGACTAAACTGCAATGATCTCCATTATATCTTTCTTTTATAGCAGATAAAGATTTCTGAATACTAGGACCCAATACCAAACCTCTTTGACTCCAGTAATATTGATGACATTCTACTAATAAATTATTGTATTCTTGTCGCTTAGCAGATTTAGTTTCCACTTGATCTATGATAGGTTTTACTTTGGAAACGATTGTTTGAAATCTCCCATAAAATAATGCCAAAGCAGCATCCATGTTTTCTTGTACGCCTTCGGTTTCGTTGAAATTTAAAATGCTTTCTGTGGTTCTTGCAAATAAATTGAAAATATAATTCTGTATCAAAGTTATAATCTTGGATTGACAATGTCTATATTTAACTAAATAAGTGGAACTTTCTTTGAAAGTGTTGTTTGTCTGTAAAGCATCCATATTAGTATCTACCTTCTCTACTATATTAAAAAACATATCGCTATTTACAGATAATGTAGAAGCTTCTAATTTTTCCATTATCACGTCTACTTCTTTAAAATATTTTACGTACTCTGCTATACTCTCTACCATAGAGTTTAATCTCTTTTGATCAGAGATCAGTTCTTCACTTGCATTATGCAAGGATGATGTTTTATCCGATACTTCAGCATATTGTTTAAACAAAATAGAAAAATCTTCCAAGGTATCCGTAATCAATTCGCAAAGTTCTTTGCATTCTTGGCGACGAGTTTTAAGATCATCCAAATATAACATATATTTCAAATTTTCAGATGAGATATATTCCCTCTCTAATTTAGTATAATATTCTAAAACATCTTGACAACGTTCTATTTGTATTATTTTATCACATTTGTCTTGATCCAAAGATTCACCAATTTCACTCGCATTTTCGTTAGTTGTAATGTCCAGAGAAGACAATTCTTCTTCCAATTTTTGTAAACAATCTTTTTGTACATCTGTTAACGGTGCCAAACAATTTTCAGCAGAATCCCATTGAATCAAATCATCTGGTGTACACGTCATTCTCGCCATTTTCTTACATTTTGAACATCGAAATTCGATGCACATCAAACTGCATTTCGCAGCGCCATCTTGCAGTCTGACACTACACCTAACCAATATGACATAACAGGATTTGAACACCGAATTTAATTTTCGCAAATCGATAGACCTTTCAATAAATATATACAAATTTATAATAGTACTTTATTTTTATTATTAAACAATAATACGAAAAAGATTAATGTTCCTTCTTTATATTTATATCATATACATATACACGAAATAAACATTTTTTTTATATATATATATATATATTATATTCTTATAATTTAAGAATATGAAATAAATCGTTCTTATTATTATTTATCTTTAAATTAATAATTATATTATATTTGAACACTTACATGGATATTGCGAAATATTATTAAAACTATTTAAGTCTTCCAGTTTTTTTATTGAATGTGTTGACGCCTACGTGCAGCTCTTTGTTTATCGAAACGCAATTCCATCTCTTCTAAAACTCGTGGAGTATAACGAACAACAAGCTTAACTGAATTTTGAGCTTGCTTTAAAAGTTCTACCGCCTTCTCATGATTTTCTCCTTCGACGCACTGATAAAATTTATCACGGGTAAGACGAGCTTACAATTTTAAATAATTTAACACGTTAAACACCATGCCAATCCCTATAGACCATCTTTAAATTTTCTGTCTTTCCTATGGTTGACAGATCTGATTATGGTCTAAATGGCAACTCAAAAAATAAGGCTTGGAGCTTAACGTGTTAAAACTAACAAGTTTTTCCGAAAAAGAAAACAATATTTTACTAACCACACCATTGACAGAAAGTAACTGATCTCCTCGTTTCAATCCACCGTGTCTATCCGCGACACCACCAGGAATAATCCGTGAAATATAAATAGGAGAATTTTGTTCCTTTCCTCCCATTACATTAAACCCAAGACCTTCCTCAGTTTTTGGTAATTCTACAACCCGTGGATGTGCATGACCTTCGCTAGCTGCAAATGCAGCGACAGTTGCTTTTGCTGTGGCCGATGCACGTACATCTTGGGATCCCTTTACACAAATGATTTGTATTTCATTTCAATATTTATTTCCTTTCATTTTGATCAAACTAAATATACAATATTATACCTGAATATCTACGGTTTCATATACGTGTTCGTATACTTCTCTTACAGCACTGAGAAAATCACTTTGCAATACTTTTTGTAACGCAGCTAATTTTGTTGTTGGAACTTCACCACCTAGAATTTTCATCTAAGGTTAATATACGTAAATCAGATATTGTAAATTTGAAACAGAATTTTAACGTTTTACCTTTTTGTAGTTTGTCAAGCAATTCAATGGATCTCTTAACATCTAGAAAATTAGTATGAAAGAAATAATCAATAACAATGCATATTTATAGTTTATTATTAATATAATATTAATATATACATGATGACTTCTGTCAAATTGTTACAAAATAATTCTTACCTCGTGCTAAAGTAAGTGGTTCGCCCATCGTAGTCATTTTCCTCTGTTTTAAACAATATCAGATAACTTGAAACTTATATTCTATCGTATCAGATTATTTCTAATATTCTATAAATATATTATTAATAATTTTAATCTTTCCACTTGCTTGATCTAGTTTGGAAGGTTGCAAGTAGAATCTATAAAGCAAGTTTTCAAACGTTATTGCATTATTCTGTATTTAAATTCTGATTGGACAATAAATATCTTGACAATTCGTCATAGAAATGCACTTTTCCACGATGCAGATTACAAGACGTGAGAAGAGGTTAGAAAATGTACCTTTAAAAATGCGCCTTGTTGTATCGTATAATAGATAGCGCTAGTATCACAGTTGATTGATAAAAAGTGAATAAGTGTGTTAATGGCGCTAGTATCGTAATAGCAGCTGATCCGCGTAAATCGTGCGCTGTAGTTTTGCTCGTGGTAGATCTGACATTGTGCAGTAGTATGCAGTCGTCGGCGCGCTTAGGTTGACGGACGTTGCATAGGAGAAGAATTGTAATTTTATCTATTTATCAAAGATAGAATATCATATCTTAATAAGTCGTGCGTTCTATTTCATACTAGACGGGGACAAGAGAAATAGTTTTGATTACTGGGCGTGAAAGTGTGTATTCGCGTGTACTTAGTGTGTCTCTTGCGTGGTATTCTTTGGGGTGTGCGTGTGTGTATGAATGATTGCGCGCGTGTGAATGCATGCATGCATGCGTGCGTGCGTGCGTGTACATTCATTCGTGAGTGAATCTGATTCTCGTAGAAATAAAAAGAGGAACGATAATAACGAGAGGGAGGAGATGGCGGAGTAGGTGGAGAAGAAGGAGGTGGAAGGAAGGGAAGATCTACAAAGAAGAAGAAGAAGAAGAAGAAAAATAATAATAATAATAATAATAAGAAGAAGAAGAAGAAGAAGAAGAAGAAGAAGTAGAGAGAAAAAGTAGTGAAAGGTCAGGCGAATAGGAAGGCGCATTCTCGTCGTAGAAAAACGAGTAAGTGAACGGCTTGTGCTGCTGGTTTATTCCAAGTTAGGTGATGACACCAGTCTTCTTCGTCTATCCTTTTTCATTTTCTATTCCTTTTCTTTCTATGTGTCTCTTACTCTTTCCTCTCTTCTTCTTCTTCTTCTTCTTATATTCTTCTTGAACTGTTCGACCCTTTCTTGGATATCGCGCGTAAAGACAGTGCTCACACACGTGTGTAGAGACAACGGTCTTTCCCTCTCTTTTCTATTAACGTCATACGTATATAAACGCGCGCACTCACGCACACACACATACACACATACACACACATAGAGAAAGCTTCACGAGAAAGAGGTGACTGACACCTGATGCGTCGATGACCATGCCGCCCGTATACACAAGTCGCGTGCGCGTTTAACCTCGATTCGTGACGTAATACTAACTACCGCTAATGCTTCAACGATTCCCCATTCAACCTGTATTATTTCCTAGTTTATATAATGTATACATGCATATTGGGTTGCATGGAAACTTTTTGCTGTGAGTTATATTTTATATATGCATATATGTGTATACATTTTTGTTAACACCGGCATCAATTTACTCAACGTTTATAAACCATTAAATTGCCTGAAAAGTTTTTACCTTTGGTTGAGAAAAATGTATGCACTCGTTAAAATTATAATTCGAAAAAATATACACACATACGTGCACATTAATTATGACAGTGAAAGAAATTGATTTGATGATATTTTTTCTTGTCTCCTTTTTTTTATATTACAATTAAAGAATAATATATATTTTATCTATTTGTTAGCTGATCTTAAAATCACTCGTAATATCCTATGCATATATATATAGAGTAACTCAGAACTACACTTGTTTATCAAGATTCCTCAGCAATTACATCATCAAACGCAATTTAGATATTTCTTAATGAAAACATAAATCGAAGGAACATTGAAAAAATTGGAGATCGTTAGTGCAACCGTTCATAATTTTTCCTCGCTTTTTCTTACCTAATTTACATGCCACCTTTTTACCGTTTTATAAAATCTACATAACACGCATTTAATTTATCCTATCCTATCGCGTCATTTGCCATATTTAATATCCAAGAGAACGCGCGCGTCGAATTGCACAACATTGCATTTGGTTTATTATTTCACTTTACACAGGGAAATGTAGCAAATCAACAGTTAGAAGAGCACTTCATTTATTTGAATATTATTTTTCGTTTATTGTTTCTCTAATGAACAGAGAGAAAAAAAATTAATCAATATCGTCCTGGTGTTAAAGGGTGTATGTTAATTCATTTGAAAACATTATCAACGATCATCACGTTCGAACGATTCGATAATCCCCTTTGTTCCTCTTTTACCCTTTTGGGACACGTGTCGCTGTAAATTTGATAAGGATGGTCACGTCGAGTGTCAAGTATATACTGAATATATACATGTGTACATGTTAATCGAAAACGTCCAATGGTTTCCAATGGACCGTAAATACAGCTATGCGAGTTCACCATTACATATATCCCGTATATATATATATATATATGTATGTATAAATGTATCCACGTATCTATTTATCTATGTATGTATGTATTGTATGTATGGATTGAATCGATAACGTCGACGAGCCTTTACCATCTCTTAGAATTCCATTTCACTTCGTAGTTACTCATCCGATCGGAGCTCGATCGAATCGTCAGTGATTTTTCAAGGCTTTTTCTTCCTCCCATCGATCATGCTCGATCGATCGAAAAATTTTACCCCGATAGAAAATCGAATAAGGTAATTCCTTTTTGAAGTGAAAATTTCTTTAGAATGGGGG